TTTGCACATAAACACACACACACACACACACACACACCCCTGATCGGGACAGTAGATGTCAGGAGCACACTGCATGCATGCGGGCAGCCCTGGGAATCAAACTCACAGTCCCACGCTTGCAGAGCAAGCCCTTTCATCATCGCTGGCCCCTTAAGGAATTTAGCGTGTCATTCTTGAGGCTTATTTGCAATGTAGATATGAAAATATTTACACTGCCTTGAGGCCGGAGAGGTACTTGCGTTGCATGGGGCTAGCCCTGGCACCCCAAATGGACCCCCGAGTCCGCCAAGAGTGATCCCTGAGCCAGGTGTAAATCCTGAACAACCAGCAGTTGTGACCCCCAAACAAAAAAAAGAAGTAAAGAAAAGAAAGGAAGGGAAGGAGAGAGGAAGAAAGAGATAAAGGGAGGAAGGAAGGAAAGAGGGAGGGAGGGAAAGAAAGAAAAAGAGGAAAGAAAGAGGAAAGAAGAAAAGAGAGGAAGGAAAAGGAGGGAAGGAAGGAAGGAAGGAAGGAAGGAAGGAAGGAAGGAAGGAAGGAAGGAAGGAAAGCTGGAGCAATACACAGCAGGTAGGGCGTTTGCCTTGCACTTGGCCAACCAGGGTTCGATTCCCAACATCTCATATGGTCCCCAGGGGTAATTCCTGAGTGCAGAACCAGGAGTAGACCCTGTGCATCGCCAGGTGTGACCCAAAAATCCAAAGAAAGAAAGAAAGAAAGAAAGAAAGAAAGACATTTCCTTTGAATAAAGATGAATGTACATGTCAATGTGAGAAATACTAATGAGCTGCCAAACAGGACCAACTATCTGGCTGCACTGCACAAGAGATAAGCCCAGCGAGGCGGCTTCGGAAGGAGCTGGAGGGAACAGGATGCACTCGGGCTCCTGGGGGTGGGGGCTTGGGGCTGGTGTGTGGGGTCTGTGACGGGTCGATGCACGCATTGCACGTGCTGTGGGGCTGTGGCGGGCAGATGCCGGGATAGGAAGGCCCTGTCCCTGGCTGGTAGAGGGGGACTGTGCTACCGAGCCTGGAGGTTGACGGCAGCAGCCCAGAGGCCCTCCGGATGCCTTTTTGCCCTGGGGGAGTGTGACGCCAAAGCTCTCCTCCAGCCCCTGCTCCCAAGCAGAGAATGGCATGTACTGTTCCCTTTTTGGAACTAGGAAGGCTGAAAGCAGGATTGGCTGGCTTCATTTGTTTTCCATTTGACCTTTTTTTATTAAGAAGTATACATAAATCAAAACTTAACATTTGAGAGCTGGAGCAATAGTACAACAAGTAAGGCACTTGCCTGGCACGCGGCTGACCCGGTTGCAATCCCCTGCACCCCGTAGGATCCCCCGAGCTACTTAGGAGTGATCATTGAGCACAGAGCCAAGAATAGGCCCTGAGCACCACTGGGTGTGCCCCCCTAAAGAGAGAGAGAGAGAGAGAGAGAGAGAGAGAGAGAGAGAGAGAACAACTTAGGAGGACCAGAGAGATAGTCCAGTGAATAGGGTGCTTGCCTTGCCTGCGATTGGCCTGGTTTGATCTCTGGCATCCCATATGGTCCCCCAGGACCACCAGGAATAATTCCTGTAAACCCTGCGCACAACTGGGTGTGGCCCAAAACCCAAAAACAAATACATCACATGATTGTGTCATCATTTTCACTATTTTCAGAACTTTTTCTTTCCTTTTTTAAAAATGTTTTTAATTTATTGAGGTTCTATAATTTACAATACAGTTCATGATGGCTTTTCATCATATAATTCTAACAACACATTCATCAACAGTGTACCCAACTTCTTCCCCCAAGGACCCCAACACTCCTACCTTTCTTTGTGTGTGTGTGTGTGTGTGTGTGTGTGTGTTGTGTGACTTTTTTGGGTTACACCCAGCAGTATTCAGGACTTACTCCTGTCTCTGCTACACTCAGGAATTACTCCTGGCAGTACTTGGGATGCCAGGGATTGAACTCAGATCAGCCAAGTGCAAAGCAAACGCCCTACCCACTGTACTATCTCTCAGCCCCATTTCTGCCTTTCAACTCCTCCTTCCCACCAACTTCAACTTGTGTGGATCAATTCTCCTGTTGCGTTGCCTTTGACCCTCTGTTGCTACCTTGCTGCATATCTTTTAAGTCCCAGAGAGATCCTTCTATATCTTTCCCTTTCCTTCTGACTAACTTAATTCAGCATGACATACCCTAGTTCCATCCATGTCATGAGAAATGGTATGAGTTGTTCTTTGGGGTTTTTTTGTTTCGTTGTTACTGTTTGGGAATCATATCTGGTGGTGCACAGGGGTTATTCCTGCCTCTGCACTCAGGAATCACTCCTAGTGGGACTTGCAGAACCATATGGGATGCAGGGGATTAAACCTGGTCAGCTGCGTGCTAAGGCAAGTGCCCTACCAGCTGTGCCATCATTCCAGTCCGATGTGATTCTTAGAGCTGCCTAGTATTCCATTGTGTGTCTTTACCACAGTTTCATTTTTTTTTTATTTTGCTTTATGGGTCACACCCAGCGATGCTCAGGGATTACTCCTGGCTCTGCACTCAGGAGTTACTCCTGGAGGTGCTTGGGAGACCATATGAAATGCTGGGGATTGAACCTGAGTCAGCCACATACAAGGCAAACGCCCTACCCACTGTACTATCACTCTGGCCCCTGTACCACAGTTTCTTTTTCTTTCCTTTTTTTAAAATTTTTTTATTAGTGAATCACCGTGGGGTATAGTTACAGACTTACAAACTTTCGTGCTTGTGTTTCAGTCATACAATGGTCGAGTACCCATCCCTTCACCAGTGCCCATTTTCCACCACCAATGGTCCCAGTATCCCTCCCAACACCCCCACCCCGTCCCCTCCACCCTTCCCTGCCAGAGCATTCCCTTTTGTTCTGTCTCTCCTTTTGGGTGTTGTGGTTTGCAGTAGAGGTATTAAGTGGCCATCATGTTCATTCTGTGGTCTACTTTCAGTCCACATCTCCCATCCCAAGCGGGTCCTCCTAGCAGCCTTTACTTGGTGGTCCCTTCTCTATCTGAGCTGCCTTTTCTCCCAGCATAGGAGGCCGGCTTCTAAGCTGTGGAGTAACCCTCCTGGTACTTATCTCTACTGTTCTTGGGTGTTAGTCTCCCATTCTGTACCACAGTTTCTTGATCCATTCATCTATAGTTGGGCATTTGGGTTGTTTCTATACCTTGCTGTTGTACTAGTGCAGCACTGAGCACAGGTGTGCATATATTCTTTCTAATTAATGCGTTTGTGTTTGGAAGAATATCACTGGATTATATGGGGCTTCTATTCCTGGTTTTTGGTAGAGATCTTCATATTGCTTTCCAAAGGGGCTGAACCAGGTGACATTCCCACCAGCAGTGCATGAGGTGACACTGGGGACTAAACCCATGGCCTCATGCTGGCAAGGCAGGCTCCCCATTCACTACAAAGTTCCGCATTAGCAGTGAGCAAGAGTTCCAGTTTCTCCACATCCTCAACAATATTATTATTATTAGTTTTATTCTTCTTGTTTATTATCTTATAATGTATTATTATTCTTCTGTCATTGTTCTATTATTTTCATTTGTTATTTCCATGTTGTTATCATCATCAATTTTTAGGTGCCAGGGATCAAACCCGTGGCCTCATACAATGGAGGCATGTTCTCTGACCCTGTTTGCTGGGTTTCAATAATAGCCACCCCGGTGGGTATGAAATGATTTGCTTTAGACTCGCATTTCTTCGTCATGAAGCACACTGTGCTTACTGACCGTTTGTGTCTCCTTGAAGAAACTCTGTTCAAGTCCTTTGCCCATTTTTTTTCCTTGGGGAGGGGGGTGGCGCACACCCATTGGTGCTCAGGGCTTACTCCTGACTCTGTGCTCTGAAATCACTTCTAGCGAGGCTGGGGGGCGTATCAAGGATTGAACTGGGGTCAGTCATATGTAGAGCATGTGCCTCTCCCACCATATTATCTCTCCCGCCCAAGTTTTTCATTTTAATGAAATTAAATGTGCTTATTTATTTTCTTTGGGCATCACACCTGGCAATGCTCAGGGCTTATTCTTGGCTGTGCACTCAGGAAGTACTCCTGGTGGTGCTCAGGGGACCACATGGGATACCGGGGATCGAACCTGGGTCGGATGCATGCCACGCAAACACCCTACCCACTGTGCTATCGCTCTGGACCTTGAATGTGTTTGGTTTTCTTTGGTTGCCTGTGCTTTGCACTGCATCTAAGATTCCGTCACCTTTGGGGGCAAGGCAGGGAGCAGGGGTGCGGGCGGCCCCTCGTGTGCACTCTGCCGTGTCCATGCTGCTGATGCCACCTGCAAGGCCAGTGCTTGCTCCCCCAACCCGCAGCCTCAGCCTGCCCACCACCGTCCGGTCCCTCCTCCTCAAGGTTTCAGACACTGGGGTTCAGTGCCCTGGGTTGGCCTTGACAGGTCCCCCCGCTGTGCCCCTCTGCCAGCCTGCTCCCCCTCTTTTCCCACTCAGTAAGCCCAGAGACCTGTCTGCTGCCTGGGGTTCCAGTGAGTGACCCTGAGTGACCACCAGCCCCAGCCTCAGTGTGTGTGGGGGGGAGGGAGGGTCCTGGCCATGGAGAACCAGGTGCTCCCCATGCCCCTTTTTCACTGTTTCCTTTGTTTTTTGAGCAAGGCCTGAAAGTAGGAGCCCGCCCTGAACTTGAAGCCTGCTGTGTTTCGCTGTCCAGGGGGCTGGGGCCCGGCCTGTCTGACTGGGGCCCACGTGCCCTGCCACCGTGCTGCCCTGACTGCTGGAGTGAGACCCTCGCCCATGGTGCCGGGGGTGAACTTGACTTCCTGGCGGAGGGCCCCAGCGCTCTGACTGTCCCCGAGCAGAGCGGCTGTGGGTCTGTGTGTTGCGGTGTCCCTGCTGCCCAGCTCCCGTCTGGGCTGCCCAGTGCTGACAGCTGGAGCAAGCAGAGCTGAGTGGGAGGGAGGCAGAGAGGTAGCAGCAGGAGCCAGTCCCTGAGCCCAGTGCCCCCCTGTCGCCCCTCCCAGATGCTGGAGGCTTCCCTGCTGCCGCTGGCTGCCCTCTTGCTTGGCCTGGCGCTGCTCGTGCCCCTGCTCTTCCCGAGGCTTTGGAACTTGCTGTACATGTACTGGCACGAGCAGGTCCTGCAGCGCATCTCCAACCTGCTCATGGGCAGCAGCAAGGAGCAGCGGATCCTGCGTCACGTGCTGCAGCACGCGGTGGCCGGGGACGCCCAGAGCGTGATCGAGGCCATCGACTTCTACTGCTACCAGAAGGAGTGGTCCATGAATGTGGGCGACAAGAAAGGTAGGTGGCGCAGGAGGGGACCTGGGTCTGGCTGCTGCCCTCAGGGGCCAGGGAGGCTGGGAAGGCGGCCAGTTACCTGCTGCAGACCAACTCAGCCAACAGTGCTCCGACACCCCGCCCTGTCCGATTCTGCAGAGCTGGGTGCTGTGGCACGGCTGATAGTTGGTTCCTGGAGCCTCTGGAGGGTGAGGGCATGTGACTTAGACTGCAGCGTGCCTCGCATGCCTAGCTCCTGACCTCTGGAGTTTGCACTGGGCACAGGCTCATGCCTTGATGGGACGGACACTCCCTGTCCAGACCCTGAGGGCTTCACATGGGTGCCCTGGGTGCAGGCGAGCTGGGGCCAGCCAGGGATGGTGGAGGAGGGGCCAGCAGTGTCCGGAGCCGGGTGGGGGCTGCCCCCCTGACTCTCAGCCCGACCCCCACAGGCGAGATCGTGGACGAGGTGTTGCGGGAGCAGCGTCCCTCCGTGTTGCTGGAGCTGGGAGCCTACTGCGGCTACTCGGCTGTGCGGATGGCCCGCCTGCTGCCCCCCGGCGCCCGGCTGCTCACCATCGAATTCAACCCTGACTACGCTGCCATCACCCAGCAGATGGTGGAATTCGCCGGTGTACAGGACAGGGTGTGGCACCCGCCCCCCAGAGAGAGGCTGGGGGAGAGGCGGGAGGGGAGGGCCCTGGCCACCATCCCCTAAGCTTGCTGCCAGGGTCTCTGTCCGGGCCTGGACACCCCCTTGGTCGGGGAGCTGTGGTGGTACTGACAGGCAGGCTCTTCCCCCAACTGGGCGTGACCACTCACGGAGCCTTCCTGCAGGTCACTGTGATTCTGGGGGCATCCCAGGACATCATCCCGCAGCTGAAGAAGAAGCATGGTGTGGACACGCTGGACATGGTCTTCATTGACCACTGGAAGGATCGGTACCTGCCAGACCTGCTGCTCCTGGAGGTGAGCCCAGAGCTGCCCAAGAAGGCCTGAGGCCCACACAGGGCTGAGGGCCTAAGTGTGCCCCGGCGGGGGTGGGGGCTGAGGGGAGGGTGTTGGCCTGCTGAGAACAGGAAACATGGAAGGGTAACTGGAGTCCCTGATTTGGGGTAAGGGGACCCCAGGTCTGGGTGAGGGAGGAGGGGATTCTGTACAGAGGGTTTGACCCCACCACGGCAGGACCCAGACTCCCAGGCCTGAAGGGAAAGGAAGGTGGGGACATGCCCGTTTCCCTTGTGCTGCAAAGACTGTCTTGCCTAACTTCCCCAGGAAGTGCCTTGTGCACCCCTCTGCACCCCACTCCTTAGTTCTCATCACCATGGGGATGAGGCTTGAGGCACTGCAAAGGGCCAGGAAGCAGCCGGCATGTGTGGCGCTCAGTGTGGGTCCCAGCTGGGCACATCCCAGGTGCCCCAGAAGATTCTGAGAAGCTCCTTGGCTCCCCTGGGGACTCGGGACACTGTGCCCCCCCCCATGACCGCTCTGCCTGATGGCCAGTGTAGGGCTGGCCCACACAGTGCATCCTGTGCTCACTCCCCTCAGAGTGGACACTGCCAAGCGCAGCGGGACTGTGGGTTGGGGCGAGGGGTGGGGAGCAGCCGCAACTGCTCCAACTTGCTGGAGGCCAGGCAGGGCCTCTCATCTGGAGGACGTGCTGCTGGTGCAGAAGGCCGGACAGCTGGGCCTGGGGGTTGTGGAAGGACAGGGTGTGGGGCCACTGGCCAAGGGCCCAGCACCAGGGGCCTGAAATACCAGGAAGGGGACTTTATGCCACGGAGGGTGGGCTCAGACCTGTGTTCCAGAAAGATCACTGGTGGAAGAGTGCAGAGGGTGGGTTAATGCAGATCAATACCCCCCAGGCCCCCAAAAAGCCTGAGCCCCTGCCTGGAGTGGAGTGGGGAGGGGGTTTGGGAGCTGGAAGTCAAACAGGCTGAGCCCCAGAGGCCAGGAGCGAGGCGGCTGTGAGAGGCCCACCCCCAGGGAGAGGGCAGAGGTCAGGCTGCTGACCCAGCAGGGAGGGATGAATTTTCAGCAGCTTTCTTTGGGTGTGAGAGAGAGAGAGAGAGACAGAGAGACAGAGAGAGAGACAGAGATAATTACCAGGGCTGACATTTATAGAAAAGCAGCAAATATTGCCATTTAGTAACTAGGAAACTAATAGTTTTCTCAGTGCTGTGTGCTCAGAGCTGGTAATTATCTCAGAAGACAAGAGTCGTGGCCCGGGAGCGGCGGCAGTGCACTCTCCCTGTGCGCTCTGCAGCTGGTGCCAGGGGCCCCTGGCTGCCAGGCCAGGATGCAGGACCGGGGCCAAGGGGCTGGCCGGAAGGTGGCTTTCAGCTTCGGGTGGGTGCTGCGAGAAGGCCTCGGTCTGTAGCCACAGGCCTCTCCACAGGCTGCTTTTAGGTCCTCGCCACATGGTGGCAGACTTTCCCCAGAACCAGAGGCACAGACAGACAGACACAGGCCAGAGCTTGTACCACCTCGTCATCACTCAAGCCACACATGGTCACTTCCACCTCCTTTGTCAGATAAAAGCCAGACACTGAGCGACCAGGGAGCTAGTACAGTGGGTAAAATACTAGCTTTGCGCCAGCCGACCCAGTTTTGACCCCCCATACTCCATGGTCCTCTGAGCCCTGCCAGGAGTGATCCCTGAGCACAGAATCAGGAGTAAGCACCCCCAGGCTCCCCACCCTCACCTCCACCCCAACCCCCGAAATAAATTGAGCCAGGAATCCAATGAAGAATGAGATCCGTGTCTTGGAGGAGAGGCGGCGACAGGTCATTGAGCACAGCCTAAACCAGCCCACGCTCCTGCCTGTCGGCTCTACTAATAACCGTTCCTCCCTACGAGACAGACTGGGCTTCTGGCCGGGATTCTCTGGGCCGAGGGCCGGGGTTTCTTCCACCCGGAGGCCTGTGGGGTCTAGGCCAGGCCGACCAGGCTTTCTCTCTGCCCCTGTGTGACCTACTAGGATGATGGGTCCGAGCACCTCCAAAGGCGACCGCAGTTGCTTCCTGTCCTTCCTCCTTCGGTCTCCCCTGAGTGTCTCAGGCTGTGCCACCAGTGGCCAGTGGCCTTGTGAAGCTGGCCCAGGAGGAGCCCTTCGGAGGGGCATCTCACTGTGCCGCAGGCCCTGGGCCGGGCACCCTCTGGGCTGCCTGCTCTTCTTGGTTTTTAGCCAGGAAGTTCCTTTTCTTGTTTAGTGAAAACACTCCATGATTCATGGTGGTACTTTCCGTTCTCACTTGGGAGTGCTGGACACACAGCTGTTTCCCACGCTTCTGGCTGGAGGGGCTCCCCTCTCCCACCGCGCCCCCCCACGGCCACAGGCAGGAAGTGACCCCAGGCCTGGGGCCGTATATGGCTCAGCCTCTGTATTCTTCTTTTTGGTGTTGTCCGACAGTGCCCTAGGGCTACTCCCAGCTCTGTCCTGGGGGACAGATATATCCTGGGCAGCCACATACAAGACAGCGGCTCCCCCTGGCCCCTCAGCCTCTATACTGGGTCACGCCTGGAGGACTCCATTCCTCCTGGCAGTGTGACACCCGGGAGCACTTTTTTTGTTTTATTGTGGAGGCCAGACCCAGCGGTGCTCAGGGGTTACTCCTGGCTCAGCATTCAGGGATCACTTCTGGCGGTGCACAGGGGACCATATGGGATGCCAGGGATCAAACCTGGGTTGGCTGTGTGCAAGACAAACACCGTACCCAATTGTACGTTTCTCCAGTCCCTGTTTTTATTTTCAATGTGTGAGATTTCTTGTACTCTTACACTTTATCATTATGTTAAAAAAAAAAAAAAAGCTCCATTCAGACAGGAGGCTGCCCACCAACTACCTCACCGCACCCCCTGCCGGGCTTGCCCAGGTCCCCCCAGTGGGCCTCTGCCCCCTCCTGGCAGCTCCTTCCTCTGCACTGGAGCCCAGGCCTGTGAATCAGGCTGGTTGCTGACTGATCTTCTTCGTCACTTGCTTGAGTTTGTCTGTGCAGAGACCACTGGCGGACAGGCTTGAGGCTACAGCGGTCTCCCCTCCCCAACCCTCCCCTCCCTTAGCCCTGCAGGGTCATCTGGTCAAGGACGATTCCCCTTCTAGGGAGCACCCCAGCACCCACATCTCTCCTGGAGGAGTCACATGCTCCTGGCCCTGGTGACCAAGGTGTCCACTGACCTTGAGTTGACATTGTGCCTAACTACCCACCCCCCCCCCCCCCCGTCCCAACCCTCTGCACTGGTCGTCTGCTTCACTCGTCTAGAGGCACTGAGCGAACACCCTCAGTCCACCTCGCACTAGAAACAAGGGGACCTGGAACTAAACAGAGCAATGCAGCACCAACCCCTTCCTCCGAGGGTGGAGGTGGGGCTCAAGCTCAGGTTCCGCAGCTCCTGTAGTGTGGGACTGGGGCAGCACTGAGCCGAGGGCCAGGCATGCCAAGGTACGGAGCCACCAGCCGCCAGCCGTGGCACCCCTGACCGCGACTCCCCTTCGCCTTCCTGTCCCTTGCAGGAGTGTGGTTTGTTACGGAAGGGGACGGTGGTGCTGGCTGACAATGTCATCTTCCCAGGATCCCCGGACTTCCTGGCCTACGTGCGTGGGAACAGCCGCTTTGAGTGCACTCACTTTACCTCGTTCCTGGAGTACTCGCAGGTGGTGGACGGCCTGGAGAAGGTCGTCTATAAGGGCCCGGACAGCCCAGTGCGGTCCTGACCGCCCACTCCCTGGGGCTGTCCCACCCACCCCCCCGGCTTGAAGGGGGGGGTGCTCTCTGGCTCTGGAGGATACCGTGGGCCGCCCCCTAACCTTGGTACGGCACGCTTGAGGTCCATGGTCCCCAACTGCCTGCACTCAGCCTCTGCATACACTGCCCAGCCCAAATGCACCCGCTCCCATGCAGCACCAGCGGGCAGGACCTGCGGTCAGCACTGCATCAGGCAGGCGGTGCCACCCGTGGGTCCCGCAGAGCCCGGGGCTCAGGTCCCTACAGACACAGCAGATGTGGGGTGCATGGCTGGGAACTGGGGTGTACAGCTCATCCTGAGGGGTTTCCTGAGTGTGGGACCAGCTCCCCACATACTGCTGACTTTTCTCACCTTTTTAAATAAGGGAATGCAGTTTCTTTACTAATATCCTGGATGCAAAATAATAAAAATGGAAGTTAAAGACAAACATTTAGATATGACATCCTCATGCGTTTGTTTCTGACCACGGGGCTGTCCCTTTCCTCCGGTCCCCTCGACTTGGCCACCCTGGTGCTCTCCCTGGCTACCCTGGTGCTACTCCCAGCAGTGGGGTAGCCGGGCTGCTCTGGTGGCCAGGCCCACAGCATAGGCTTCAGTTCTGCAGGGATATGTGTAGGCTGGACAGCTTCTGGGGAAAGCAGAGCAGCAGTGGGGAAGCTGAGACTGGACTCCCCAGGGCCTGGTCCTCTGGGCTTCTGGCAGGAGGCAGGCGACCAGTCCTCTGTCCTGTATCCCGCGGTGGGTGTGGGTTTGCCTCAGCCGTGGAGCCTGCACCAGTTATCTAACTGGCAGTGATGAAGCAGAGCTGCCCCCCAAGCCCCATACCGGCCCCCCACCCCAGGCCCCTCTACAGTAGCTGGGGTTCTGACCACCTCAGAGGTGCCCTAGGATCTCATCTGGGGTCCAAGGACCCCCAGGACTCAGGGAATGAGCCTGTTCTTTAGAAAGGGGACCTGGTCCCTGCTGAGTCTACACTGGACCCCAGTGACGATCCCCAGGGACACCCCTGTCCCCACCCAAAGAGGGAGGAGCCGACAGTTCCAGCAAGAGAACAGAGGCAGGCACATGACACAAAAGTTCCTTTGTTGATTTTTTTAATTTTTAAGTTTTCTTACAAAAATTCAAATATTTGCCAATACAGTTGTCTTTTGGTTTTGTCTTTAATGCTTTTCATCAGTGTTTTCTCTTCTGTTTTTAAGTCGCAAACAGCAGGCACTGAACAGCAGTCTCCCTGCGCTGCCCCTGACCCCCGAGGGGCACAAGGAGGTGTGACTGGGCCACAGCAGCCCTGGGCAGTCTTTCAGGGGAGGCCCCACCAGCCAGGGCTCCAGGCTCCCAGGGTGGGGGCTGGGTGGGGGGACAAGCACAGCCTGACCCCCATGTCTAGACTGGCCCTCTGGAGCGGCCCTACACCCCGGTCTCTGCCCTGCAGGGTAGGACTGGGGCCTGGAAGAGCACCCCCTATCCCGCCCTGCCTGGCTGCCTGCCCCCAGCTCTCCTACCGCAGGCCCCAAAGTCAGTCACGCACCCTCTCCGGGGCTTCCCCGGGCCCCTCCCACCCACCTCCTCCCCCTCACTAGCTCCCAGCACCAAGTCCAATGGCAGCGGCAGGGAGGGAGGCTGGTTCGGAAAAGTCAGCCTGACTCCGGAGAGCCACTGCCGACCCCTGCCGCCAGGGGGCGCCGAGCACCACAGCAGGGTCTGTGCAGGACGGACCTGGAGTTCCCGCCTTCCCGTGGTCCCTAGGAACAGCAGGCTGAGCCCGGCCCTGAGGAGGGAGAGGGCGGCTGGAACCAAGGGCAGCGCAGGTGAAGTGAGCACCAACGCCGTGGTGCGGACGGGCGGGGCCTCGCGCCTACGGGGCTTGCAGCGGACAGGGGCTGGGGGGAGGTAGGTGGTTTCCTGCGCTGGCGCGGGATGCGGCAGGGCTGCGGGCCACAGAGACCCCTTCCTCTCTGGCCATGGCCCGCACTGAGCGCGAGGCCGGGCCCTTCCGGGGAGCCCAGGGAGAGCGGAGCATGCAGCCAGCAGAGGTGAACGCGGCGGCCCTGGCCCAGAGCACAGAAGGGCAGACACGAGAACGTACCAGGAGTGCAAGCTAGACCCAGGAGTCAACGGGCTGAGGCTTAGCGTCCCCCACGGCATCCACCAGCCTGACCGAAGGCCTGCTGGGCCCAGGAGGAGGGGCCTTCCTGCTGGGCTCGAGCTGCAGCAGCCAGGGAGGGGAGGAGGGCATCCGAGGCAGAAGGCAGAAGAGAGCAAATTAGTGGGTGACTGGGGTTGGGGACCAGGCTGATGAGTCAGGTGGGGGCAGGGCACACGGGCATGAGGGCAGGGGAGCCCGGTCAGTGTGGTAAGAACGGAAGCACAGCAGCCCGTGCCCAAAGCCAGGGCATGGGCATATGGCAGGTTCCAGGGGCTGCCGTGGAGAGAGGACCATGTCGGTCCCTGACTGCACACATGCAGAGAAGGGTGTGGACATGCTAGCTCGGCACCAGGCAGTGGCCCCTGTCCTATGGCCCCTCTTTCTCCCTGCCAGTGAATGAGTTCAGCTGACTCTGACGTGAGGTTCCCCAGGGTCTGGTTTCATGGCCCGGCTACCCCAACTAGAGGACCCCCAGTTCCTGACCAAACTCAGCATCCAGCCTGGGTCCAGGAAGCCCAGGCACGCAGCCCTGCGGGACCCCTACCCACACTTACTTTTAGTGGCTCCTTCTCAGAAGCCTCTGCTGCAGGGTCACTGCCTCGGGTCTTCCGCCGGTCCACTGTGGAATAGCCGTCTGTGGGAAGGGGCATCAGGGGCTCTGAGGGGCAGATCCGCCTCTCAGCACAGACCCAGGGGCCTAGGGACAGAATCCAGACCGCCCAGAGGACCGTGCCAGGTCTCCTCCCAGCCCCCTCAGAGGAGGACACACCAGAGGCCCGAGCTGGGCCCTGGGCCCCGCGGTCCTCCCCTCGCCCCCAAGCAAGCCTGAAACAAATATTTCTCTCTAGTCCTGCCAGCTTCTCCTCAGAAAGCCATCCCAGCGCCAACACAACAGAACAACTTGGTCGCAGTACACCCCTGCTGCGCCCTGCGGGAACCTGGCAGCCCTGCACCCGCCTGTACTCACCGGGGCCAAGAGCCTCCATGGGGATGGCGTCCCGGCTCCCAGGCTTCTCACCGTCTGCCAGGCACAAGGCACAAAGCACAAGGCAGGCATCAGCCCGACACAAACCAGCTGGTTGCAGTGGGGGTGAGGGGGGTGGGGTAGACGGGCACGCCCACAGCCAGCCTGGCCGGCGAGGCAACTGCACGTCACGACTTTGCAGGTTTCTGCTGGACCTCTGCCTCTGGCACCCCTTCCCCCAGTCTGGCACCAAAGTGGCGGGCACAGGGGTAGGGGAACAACTGCTGGGAAAGGGATCCCCTATACTCCTGGGGGACTGCCAAGTTCCTCCCCTACCCCTCACCCACCATGTGTTTCTTGCAGGCTGGAGGTGCCTGTGTCAGCAATGGGGTCCCGGACCCTCCCCAGACTCACCGAGGCTCTTGTCCACCAGGGGTAGGGTGCTATCATCAAAGCCTCCCGGACTTGGCACTCCCTTGGGTCCCTTGGTGTTAGCAGCAGTGGACTGGAGTGGGGGAAGGGCACAAACGGGTGGGAGTCAGGGCCGCTCACGGGGGACCCCAGCCTGGCGAGGTGAAGCCGAGAAGGGCCACACAGCAGCACCTGGAAGCGCGCCTTGGTCCAGCCATCCTTCTGCAGGGCACCACGCAGCTCCTTGTAGCTCCACACAGTTTGCAGCACGTGGGATGCGGCCTTGGCCTCGCGCACAGACTGACTGTCCGCAGAAAGGAGCGGGTCAGTGGGCAGCCCCACCCACCCGGGCCCCACCCACACGCCGGGTCCCGCCCACACGCCGGGCCCAGGCACCTGGCACCACCCAGGGCCACTAGCGCAGGGACGCCTCGGGCCTGCAGGAGCGAGCGCGCATTGTCCAAGCTGTCGGACACGATCTCATGGATGGTGTTGAGCACGGCCACCACGGTGTCTTCCTCCAGATGGGCCCCGGGTCGTGCTGGAGCCTGCGCATTCCGCACGTTCCGTACCAGTTCTGCCATAGCATAGCTCCCTGAAGAGCGGGGGTCTGGAGTCAGGATGCACCTCTGCTCTGCCCTGCCCTGCCCTGCCCTGCCCCTGGCCCTGTGGTGGAATGGTGCAGGATCCCAGCTAGGATCAGAGAGGCCCCTGTTGTCCCGGGGGCTCAGACAGCCTCCCAAGGGCTTCAGGGAGACTGTGAGTGCCTGCAGATGGCCAGAGAGAGGCAGATCCCAGTCCCTAGCAGCCTCTAGGGGCACCCCCAGGCCACCGCTCCCAGGTCTGCACTGAGGCTCCTCCTCACCAATGAGGTCTTTATTGCGCCGGTCCAGGGAGAGGTTGCGAAGGGCGATGGCCACAGCGCGGACGACCTTGTCAGTCTCCGACTGCAGCAACTCCACCAGCACGGGCAGCCCGCGCTCCTTGCGCACGGTGGCACGGATATACGTGGCCCACTGTGGAAAACACGGGGTCAGCTACTCTCACACTGAAGGCCCGACCACTCCCTCCAGCTGGGCCACCTGCCCGCCTCTGGCCTGGACCTCCAGGACGCCAAGGAGGTGCCGGGGCAGTGATGCCCAGCAGTTCCCCCCCACCCCCACCGCCAGCCCCAGCTTCTCACCGTCCAGTTGCCGGCACTGAGGTTCTGTAGGGCTCCGGCTGCAGCCTCCAAAGTGTTGAAGTTCCGGCTCTCCGTGAGGAGAGAGAGGTAGAGACGTACCACTTCAGGCTGGTACAGCAGCTCAAAGCCTAGGCACGGACACCACCGCCCACAGTCACCCAGGGTGCAAGGGTGACCTCACTCCCTCCTCTCCCTGAATGTCAGTGCTTCCAGGGATGCCAGAATGTTCCGAGGCATTCGCCCCAGAGGCCAGGGAGATGGCTCAATGACCGGAACACAGGCTTTGCATGTGGGAGTCCTGTATTTAATCCCTGGCATCACATGGTTCATGGGGCACCACCAGGAGTGACTCCACAGCGCCATGTTGGATGTGAACAGTCACCAAGAAACAAGCAAGGTTTTTACCCCTTAGGGCCACCTGAATGAAGAAACGTTCCCATTTCACAGAGGAACAAATGGGCTCTGTGCAGACACAGCGGGTCTGCATGAGGTCACTCTCCCCTCACTGCGCTGCCTGAGAAACGGGGTTCACAGGCCTGGCAGCCCCGCAGGAAACCTGGCATGGAGCAGGGAGGGATTCCACTGCCCTAGCAACAGGGCCTGGACCCCCCCCACCATGACGAATAGGGGGAGTGCAGCCAGGGTCGCTCCCCCAGCAACAAGACCCACCCTCCTTGGCAACAGTGTGGGTGCTCTCTCCCAGGAAAGCGAGCAATCACCGGGGCAGCCTGGCAACAGGGCCTGAGCTCCACCTGAGAGGCCCTGCCACTTCTGTCCCTCATCAGCAGGCAGCAGAGTGACCACACGCTGCTCCAAGGTCAGCACATCCCTGTGCTGACCACAGACGTGGCCTCCCTCTCCCCTCCCCGCTCAGGGTGTTTGCAATGGACAGTCCTGGCCTGACAGGCTTCCCTCACTCCCAGTGGCTGGGCCCTGGCACTTCACGGGGAAGGTCTGGGCGTTTGGGGTGCAGTGGCCTGTGGCTCTCCAGAGTGGGCCTCACCACAGTCTCTCTGGCTGGATTCCCCAAATTCAGAACAGAACTTGAACAGACAAGCAGACAAGGAGGTCGAGTCCCCCGTGTTGGTCACCACGGCCCAGCTTCCACACTGACTGCCCTGAGCCCAGCTGAGTGACCCTGCAAGGGGCACGCAAGGCCTCCCTGCCCTTCACTGTGCGTGTCACTCTAGTGCCCACCAAGTGCCCGACAGTGCCTGGGGTCCCAGTGCCCCTATATGCCACACTGTCTGAAGCGACAGGCAGCACTGACCCTGATTCCAAACGCTTTGCCCACATCCGCAAGCCTATCCAGACACTACTAGAGTGTCCTCAGGCCTGCCTGGTGGCCAGCCTCACCACCTGGACAGCCTGAATCTCTGGCTCCACCATCTCACCTTTGGCGGCCTCGGTCCGCTTGGGCAGGTCCAGCGTGTCAAAGTTCCGGTCCATCTCACCATCCTTCTTCCCTGGAACAGAAGGCAGAGGAGGGTGAGCAGGACCCTGCCAGAAAGCTGGTGGGCATCAGGAAAACAAGCCAGGGCCCATTCCTGTTCAGAGCCCCCAAAGCATCCTTCATGCCCACGATTGGCCACTAAGAAGCCCTGGGAAGGGACAGTGTCACAGCAGGGAACCAAGTAGCTGGCCCCCTGCAGGTCCAGGAGCTCCACTGCCAAGCCAGCACAGACTCCCTGAGGCTGTCCGGTGTGTGAACTGAGGCGCCTGGAGCCCTGGCCAGGTGACTGGGCAGGCAGGGGATGCAGGGAAGCAGGACGAGCCTCTCTGAGTGCTGAGGGAGACCCGGGAGCCACAGACCCAGCAGTGGAGCCCCTGATGCCTGGCGGCCTCTGCCTGGCTGCTCCTGTCCCCTCCCATCCCACGAGGTGTCTCTGCCTTGGGAAGGCTTCAGAGATCTAGGGCTCCTGTCCAGCCTGTGAGGTCTTTGTGCAGCTCCTCTGCCTGGGCCACACAGCACCAAATTTCACTGGAATGCTACTGCTCGCCGGCACCCATAGGGATGACTGCACCATAGTCTAGGCACTGCCCAGCGTCAGTTCAGCCCCAGCTCTGAGAGCAGCCTGCTGGACAGCCCGTCCAAGGTGACCGGGGGCCAGGATGGAGCTGGAATCCCTGCGCCTGACACCTCCAGAGTTGTCATGGAGGCAGCTGCCTGGAGACGGGACCCAGCCAGGCTGGGGCAGCAAGGCCAGAACACCCTGTGGTCACCATGGAGACAGCAGCCTGAGCCCTGGGCTGGGCCTGGACAGCAGGGCAAACAGGGACTCACCTTGATGGAACCACTCCTCTGGACAGCCGGAGGAAGCAGAGGAGAGAGGAGACGAGCCTGAGTGGGCAGCACCCCTCCCGCCCTCCCGGGAAACCTGACTCCCCACTGCACACCTGGGCTGAGCAGATGGGATGTGGAACTTCACCCCACTGCAGCTGGGGGCCAAGAGCCCCAAGCAGCACAGAGAAAGCCATACACAGGCTCCACCGACACCTCTGAGTGCAAGAGGCACGCATGAAGGCAAGATGGGGGCTGCCCAGGGCTTCCGGTTCTGCAGAAGCCCTGCCAGCACCAGGCAGGGGCACCATCTATAGAGGTCCCCAAACTGGGACCCACTGAACCCTTCCCAGAGCCAGCAGGGGCTCCGCCAGGTTCCCCCTGCCCTCTCTGGGCCCCCCCCCCCCCCACAGCAGATGGAGAAAGACGAGCCTGGGACACGGCTCCCCGCCTGTGAACAATGGGGCGGCCCCCACCTCTGGAGGAGTGTGGACACAGAACACCTGTGGCCTGGGGAAGGGAGGATTCCGCCACACACCTTTGGCCTTCTTGCCACCGAAGCAGCCGGCGTCATCCCGCCTCCGGCGCTGCGAGCCCAGAGCGCCCCCTGGGGGCCCAGGCTCCGCCTCCTGGTACCTGTCAGCCCCTGGCACCTCCTTGTGCACGTGGTAGGACAGGTTCCGCATGATGCACACGCAATTCTCCACCGACTGTGGGGAGAGGGGAGCTGGTGGGTCAGAGCTACAGGGACCCAGCGTGCTGACCCACCCAGGGAAGATGCCATGGCCAGCGGACACCAAGGGGTCCAGGAGGAGACCAGGAGGCCTGCGAGGGACACGAAACACCAAAAGCCGGAGGAGGAAGGGGGCAGGTCCCTGAACACACACAGTATTTTATCTGGGCCTTGGTGGCTCACCCGTGCCACGGAGTGGCCATGACTCAGTGGCCTCTGACTTGGACACTGCCCCCAGACCAGCACAGCCTCCCCCACTGCCAGCCCAACTGCTCAAGACTGCAGGGGATGCCTCCTGCATCTCTCCCACCCTTTGTCAAAGACTGCGCACGAGGGGCTAGCCTCCCCTGCCCCCCCCCCATCTCGCCCCGCCCACCACCTTGTTGTCCGTGTCCTTCCTGCCCACAGCCGACTGCAGGGCATGCAGCAGTGCATCCACCAGGCCTTCGCATTCCCGGAGTCGCCGGCGGGCCTCTGCGCCATCAGAGCTCACGTTCCTGTGTGCCAAGAACATGCCTGGTGACCCCTGCCCCTGGCTCTGGGATTCTTAATTCATGGCACGGCCCCACCAGGGCAGAGGGCACTGGCCAGACTGCACAGATCTCTGGGAGGCCCTAAGCTCTCTCCAAGCTGGGAGGGGTCAGTGGTGGGCTCAGCCTCCCCCACCCCAGTGGGAGCTTGGGGCTTGGACATGCTGGCATGTCCCGGGGGACCCAGGATTATCTATGGAGAGCCAGAGTCCCAGTGAGGTGAGACAAGACCCCAGCCATCGCCTCTGGTGATGGGAGTGTGGGTCCAGGCTGCAGGGCCGGACCCTGGGGCTCCCACTCAGGGGGTTGGCAGGCCTGTCTGAGGATGAGGAACATCTCCTCACTCCCTGGAACATGACAGTTGTCCCTGAGTTAGGGCCACTGGTGCGGGGGGTGCATGCAGGAACTGGTCCTGTCTCCAGCCTCAGGGAGCAGCCCCGCAGCCAGGACGCCCCACCCCCCCGCCCGCACCTCAAACAGCCGGACGTGTTCTTGAAGACAGTGGTCCACTCGGCGTCACGTGGCTTCGAGTCCTCGTTGGGCTCGCGCTCCCAGCCCGAGTGGGGCACAATGACCTCGTGGGTCAGCGTCTGTAGCCCGTGGTCAATGATGACCATCTTCAGGGGCTCATAGGATGACAGGTTCCAGAGTGTGCCTGTCAGGCACACAGACCAGCCCTGTTGACCACGGGTGCTATGGCACCACTGCCTGTCACCCGGCCCCAGCTGGGAGTTGACAGCCAACACAGAAGGCCCTGATGGTCTGTCTGGGCCTGGGACGACAGGTCCATGGTTATGCCTAGTGGCGTTTCCCAGCTAGAACGGAGCCCCAAGAGGCTGGGAGGAGGAACACAGGACGGGGTGAACATGGCGGGAGGGACAACTAAAGGGTCACTCGGGCTGGTCACATGACTCTGCCCAGCTGTATGGGTTCACCAGAACATAGTCCCCACCACTGCACTCCTGGGGTGGTAGCAGGAGTCTGGGGGAAACAGCTGTGGTGGGATGAGGGCCCCAATGCCCATCCTACCATGGTGACTGGGTCCAGAGGAGGTAGCTGCCATGGCACCTGGGACCCCTTCCCCGGCAGGAAGAGCCCCCGAGGCCACCCCGTCCCCAGGGACACCACTCACCGGTGACAAGCTCCCGGACCTCACTGTCCCGGGCAGCCCGCAGCAGGCGCACCAGGGCGGGCACACCCCCGCAGTCCCGGATGGCCGCCTTGTTGTCCGTGTCCCGCCCAAAGGAGAGGTTCCGCAGCGCCCCGCAGGCCCGGCGCCGCACCTCAGCCCGCGGGTGGTCCAGCAGGGCCACGAGCAGCGGCAACCCCCGCAGCTGCCGCACGCGCCGCTTGACGCCCTCGTTCTCGAAGCACAGGTGCTGCAGGTAGGCGGCTGCGTTGGCCTTCACGGGGTCCACGGGGTGCCGCAGCATGGCCAGGACCTCGGGCAGCTCCGGATCCCGCCAGCGCGGTTCCTTGCGGGCGCTGTCCACCGAGGGCGAGCGCCGCACCATGCGGTCCAGGCTGCCCAGGCTGCCCCGTTCAGGCTGGGCCAGGGGTGCGCTCACGGCTGGGAATGGGGGCCGCTCCTCCATCAGCTCACTGCCTTCGTCAGCCACGTCCTCGTAGGCCCTGTCCCGCAAGAAAACCGGTGAGCAGCTCTCGAAGCCGGCGGCCCCGCCCACCCCAGTCCACGCCCCGCCCACCTCCCCGGGCTGCGCGAGTGCGAGAGCCGGCAGCTGAGCACTGGTAGCCCGATTCCCCGAGCCTGCCAGGGCAGAGCAGGAGTCACACTCAACCAATGGCCTGACTCCACCCTCCCGAGACTGCGGGCACTCACTGCCCTCCCCACGTATCCCCCGCCACTGAGCTGTGCATTTCCGGGGAACATCTGTGGATGACAGATTCTGACCTTTCCAGATCCAGCTGGTGCCAAGCTACTGGGGGAGAGGGGGTCCACTACCAAGGGCCTCCATCCCACTGGGACTGTCTAAGGGACATTTGAGCAACCGGGATTCAAGATGTCCTTGTGGACTCTCCATCGATCCTATCGCTAGGAGGCATCAAGCATCTGGGCCCTGGTCACAGACAATGTCAGTCTGGGCTGTGGTCATGCACCTCCACTAGAAACAAACCCAGGGCAGAGGGAACAGACCCAGAGGCTGTGGCGGGAAGAGCTGGGTCAGAGTTCTGGATGCTCCTGAGCACAGGGGCAACCCAGGCAGGGGCCCTCCCACTCCGGGAAACACCTGAGCCTCTGGTGCTCGAGCCTCAAAGGCCCTCAGGTAGGGGGAGAACATGTCAAGCACAGTGCCCCGCCCCACTGCAACTCCCACCACACCCTGGTCTGCACTGGAGAAGAGCTGAGGCGCAGGCAAGCTCCAGGGCGGGGCATGGGGGGGACACTAACTCAAGCCCAGAAGCCCGTGGAATACTGTGGTGGACGTGGGGGGCAGACTGCCTGGAGGCGACAGGAGGCAGCAGGTGCTCACCTGGCGCGAAGGCCCCGCCCGCAGTCAAGCCGCCTCCGGGGGGCCGTGCTGTAGTCGGACTCCAGCTCCGGGCCGCCCTCGTCCTCGGCAGCCAAGCTCCGCGTATCATCCTCCAGGCCATAGGGCTCCGCCTGGAAGCGCTCAGGCTGGGAGCGGCCTGCTGGAGTCACAGGCTCGGGGCCGGCGGGGAACGCCTCACGGCGGCCAGGCAGAGTGAAGCAGCCGTCCCCAGGGCCCGGACCCAGAGGCCCACCACGTGGGGGCCGCGTTCCCAGCCCCCGGGACAGGCTGCCGTAGCTGGGGACTTCACGGGGCTCGGGCGCATCAGGGAAGCTGCCCCCGCTGCTGAGGTAGGCGCGGGAGAGCGTGGCTGCCGGCACGCCCCCTCGCAGTAAGAAGTGGCGGTCCAGGGGGCCATCTGGGAATGGGCAGAGCGGGGGTCCGCTGTCCAGCAAGGGGAGGCCATCCGGACCCACGGGCAGCTGGCGCACTGTTCGTGTGGTCACTGTCTTCACAGTCTTAGTGACCTGGCAGATACGCAGGCAGCTGGTGGGCTGGGCGGCCCGAGAGGACCAGTCCCTGTCTGGCAGTGACCACCCAGACGGCAAATGGGAGGACCCCAGGAGACGTGTCACCCCCAGGACCATACCTTAGTCTCAGTGCGCCGGGTGGTACCATCTTCCGAAGTGACGATGGACACATGGGACGTAGGGGTGCCAGGGTCCTCCTCCACCGTCACCGTCTCCTCCAGCACCTCAGGGGCCTCTGGCATGGTGACCAATGAGGCCTCGCTGCCCGGGCTCTGCTCCTGGATGAGGAGAACAGGGGCTGGTGAGTGGCCCCACGGCCCTCTCTGCTGCCCTGCAGATGGGGGAACATACCTATTTCCAGAACCCAGTGGCCCCAGGGGTTGAAGGAGGGCAGGGACGTTGGCATGGAGGGCAACCTGCCATTTCCTCCAGGCAGAGCTGGCATGTGAGGTCCAGGTCCCACAGATCCGGGGTCCCAGGGCATGGCTACCCTGTCAGAGCCATAAAGCCAGTGGCCCAGGAGGCCTAGATGGGACCCACGGGATCCTTTCCCTACACGGCTCCACAGCTGGCTGTGTCCCCTCAAGGCCATGGACGTCCTCCCTGCCCACCCTAAAACCTGGACTGCGAAAGCTTCAGGGTCACAGTTTCAGCTAGTGCCAAAGTTGGTGGCAGCTGACAGGATGCCCTCAGAGGACAAACATGCCCAGTTCTGGGGCTGGAGCAATAGCACAGCAGGTAGGGCATTTGCCTTGCATGCAGCCGACCTGGGTTCAATTCCCAGCATAACCATATGGTCCCCTGAGCACAGCTAGGAGTAACTCCTGAGTGCAGAGCCAGGAGTAACCCCTGTGCATCGCCGGGTGTGACCCAAAAAACAAAAAAAAAAATGCCCAGTTCCCTAGTGCTCTATGAGCTCAGAAGACCAAAATCCCCATGTTCCTTCCAGCCCACATAACCTCAGGAGGAATGGACATGGCCTGGCATCTCTCACCTGGGTCAGGGGCCCCTGTCCCGACCAAGTGTCTGGGTCTCTTATCAGGTGCCTGAGAGGATGCTTCAGGCTGAAAGGACCCCAGCTGATCTGTGGTAGCATGGCAGAGTCCTGCCTCTGCATGTCCACATTCTACCTAGCCTCTGCCCTCTGCTTCCGGTCCTCTGCCTCATCCTCCACATACTGGCCCCCTCCTCCCTGCCGTCAGCCCTGCAGGGGACTGTGAGGGGAGGCAAGATGGCTCTTCGCAGAGCTCTTCAATGGCCCAGTGTCTCATAGCCAGACTTGCCAGTGAGGAAGCTAAAGCTCCTCAGAGTAGATGGCCCACAGCAGCGCTGGGCCAGACCTCTGCTGTGCTGGGCAGCACCGGGCCCTGAGGGCCACACTCCACTTGGGCCCCTGCCATGCGAGTGTCACATGGTCTGGAGCATGGGGAGCAATCAAAACCCAGGTGGCAGTGGGTTGGTGAGGAAAGCGGACATTGCTGGACAGCCAAAGCCAGGCCAACTGGAGGACAGCCTAGACCCCATGTCCTGCAGGGTGGGTCCCCAGTTGGCCTGCCCAGACAGGAGGCCCAGGGACTGAGCCCATGGTGCCCAGCCTCCAAGTCCACTCTGCTCTGGGCCCTGGGTGGGGAGGTGTGCAAGACAAGGGACACTCGCTAGAGGTCAGCAGATGTCGCCTCACCCCAGGCTGGAGTCCTGTGTCCTGAAGGGACATGAGACCCCCTGCCCCCTGACTTTACCACTTGCAATTTTGAGTATCTGAGCTCTGCACCGTTCCAGTAAGCTGAACCACTCATGGGGAAGTGCTGGGGCACTGCCCTGGGGGCCAGGAGGGCCCTGGAGCAGAAGGTTCTCTGAGACCCTGTCACTTCTGGGGTCTCAGCTGTCATCTCTGTATTTGACCACTGTGGGAACAAATATGTGGCAGGCAACAAGCTCTCTTTCCTGGGCCCTCTGGGGCACTAGTCAGAGCTTAAAAACAGGATGGAGGGAATGCCCTGGGGGCTGTAGGTACAGGCGAGGGGCAGAAGTAGGACTGGCCTGAGGGGATCTGCACACTGTCCAGGAGACAGCCACGTAGCAGGACATGGCCCCTTGGTCAGTGGGTACTCATGAAGCCATTTTCGACTGCCCCTCCCAGCTTGGGGGGTGAGGGCATTGTCAGGGGACTCGAGATCATCTGGGCCTGGTGCCCCCACAGCACCGCCTGCTAAAACCCAGACCAGGGAGCCCAGCAACGGGATCCCGAGGCCCCGGGAGGCCCTGCTGGCAAATGACCTCAAGATGCTAAAAGCGGACGATGACTTCACCCATGAAGGCAGGCAGCAGGCAGCAGCATGAGTCAGTCAGGGATTGGGGAAGCCTGGTCCATTACAGACTGGGCACGTGCCTGCAGACGGAGCCCTGGACACACACGTGTGCATGTGCACCCCACAGATATGTGCACACATGTGTGCATGCCTCCCTGGGCCCTGGGCATGGCAGCAGGCATATGCTTCGCCCCACACACAGTGCCACTGTCCTGAGGGACACACACGTGGACACGTACGTATGAAGCCCTGTCGCCGCCTCCCGTCTTCTCCACATGCACAGACTCCTTCCACCACCCAATGAGAGGGCTCCTAAGCAGGCTGAGGACTAGCAGTAGACAGGCCCCTAAGCGCTATGACACGAAGAGACCCACCTGCAGTCGAAGCCCCTGAACCATCTTTGGGAGGAATATGTTTTTTTGCGGGGGTTTTGTTTGTTTTGGGGTGAAACCCAGTGAAGCTCAGAGGTTACTCCTGGCGCTGCACTCAGGATTTACTCCTGACGGAGCTCAAAGGACCATACAGGATGCTGAGGATTGAACCTAGATTGGCTGCCCCTGAATCCCACCCCTGTACTATCTCTCTGGCCCCTCTGAGTGGAATGCAAGATCAGGGGCCAATGACCAACACAGCTAGTGCTCAAAAGAGTGCCTCTACTCTCTCTCGGTCTCTCTGACCTGCTCTAGGGAACTGTGTCCTGTGTCTACCTACCAGGTCCACCCATCTGTGGGAAGGCAGCCCTGACTCCCCCTCTGATCCAAATGTCCCAACTACCCTGCACCCCAGTCCTTCCCAAAGCCCCCAATCTGCAAGTCCTATCAAGCCTTGTTTCCCTCCCAGGCTCTGACCTCATCCACCCACTTCCATTGGGCCTCTAATGAGGACCAAAATCCACCCCGTAGCAGGCCCAGTCTGCATAGGCCGCTGTCCAGGCTGGGTTTTCCGAGTTCCTTGCACCTGCAGTGGAGCCCTAGCCTAGAATTCTGAGCTGCAGGCTAGCATGGCCAGCAAAACAGAAAGGGAGACCCAAGTGTTTACGGCAGCTCTCAAGGTTCCCAGGGGCACAGAGCTGAGTCCAGGTGCCCCTGATTCCATCACACACCTAAGGCTCACCTGCTCTCTGTGGGCATGGGCCACAGAGACCCAGAATGCCAAAACCAGGGAATTGGCCAGGGACCCAGGCCCACTCTGGGGCTAGAATCAAGGGAGGTGGAGAAAATACAGAGGGGGCCATCACGTGGGCAAAAACAGTTGCCTCTGAGATGCAAGAGGGTAAAAAGGGTGTGTGGACAGAAGAAATAAGTCATGGGGGAGTGGGCGAGTCTCGATGAGGGTCCCCAAGACCCCATCTACCTGCTCTGTCTGTACAGCAGGTGAGCACCCACGGTCCCTAAGGTGAAAAGTCAACCTAAAGACAAGCAACCAAATGCTCACATCCTCCACCCGCCAGCACATACAGGCGCTGGCTAGGGTGGGCCCCTACACCTGGCTCCCACAATCCCAGTGCAAAGCCTCCAGAGGGCACCGAATGACGAGCCAGTGGAGAGCAACAGTAATGTGACCCCCTGCACCAGAGCTCCCTAGGCAACCAGCCCTTGGCCCCCAGAGATCCTCTCCTCTCCCTCTGCGCTGGCAGACCTCTATGGCAAAAAATCCGCCGCTGAGAGGCCGAGAGGCCAAGGACAGTGGGTGCCCAGCGGAGGGGGGGGGGGGGGAGGAAGCACGCACACAGAAGGACTGGCTCACACCCACCCCAGCTTCCCCAAGTTCTGGCCACATCTTTCAGGGACCCCTGACCCCGGCCCCCAGCGGGCCTCTCCATCCCTGGCCAGATCCTGGGATCGCAAGGGGAGGAGGAGAAGGCAGGGCCCCCACAATGGGCCTGGGCAGGTGCCACTCCTCGCAGTCAGTCCCCGCCCTGGTACTGGGCCCCGCCCCCTTCCCCCTCCCCCCCTACCCCCAGCCAGGGCGCCCACTGTCCACTAGGCTTCCCAACCACCCCAGACCGGCTCGGGCATTCCTTCCACAGAGACCCCCCTCCCCGCTCCCGCCTCCGCACGTGGACAGGGCACCCCCCCCACACCCCTCGGCTCACGTGCACGCCGCGGCAGACAGCGGTTCTGTGAACGCTCGGGGAGCTCCCGGGCTGGTCCCGGGAGTCGGAACCCGAGCCGGGAAGGTGGCAGTGAAGGGGGAGGGCGGGCGGAGACCCCCACCCCCCGCCCGCGCCCGCGCCGGGGCGGGGAGACAGGCTGGGTCTCCCGCTCGGGTCTCGGCCTCCCCTGGGCCGGGGCCCCGCACCTGTCCCGTGCCGGCCGGGGGGTGTGCCCGGCGGGTCCCCGCAGGGGCGCACGGCGAGACGACGGGGGAGGGCGGGGGCAGCCCTGAGTCCCCGGCACGGGCTCGGGGACCCGGCAGCCCCGCCCGGGCGGGGGGCTCAAGGCCGGCAGCCCGCCGACCTGGAGCGCAGACAATAGCTGCCGCCGGCCCGCGGCCCCGCAAAACAAAAGCCGGTGCTGCGGGGGGCAGGCCGGCGCGCGCCCCCGGGACGGAGCCCCCCGCTCGCCCGCGTCAAGTTCCTGCCAACCTGTCTGAGTTCGGCCGGCATCGGGCCGGGCTCGGCGGGCGCCGCGGCGGCGGGGCGGCGGGGCGGCGGGGCGGCGGCAGCGGCGGCGGCGGCCGGACCGGGCTCGGCTCCCGGGCCTCGGCCGCTCGCGCTCGGGCTCGGCGGACTCGCTCCCCGCGGGGGCGGAGCCGGCGGGGCCGCGGCGAGCAGCCAATCGGGCGGGGCCGCGCCCAGGCGGGGCGGGGCGGGGGCGCGGGGGCGGGGCCGGCTGGGGGCCCGCCCCCGGCGCGCGCGGCCTGGAGGCGGGGCTGGGCTCTTCACCCCCGCGCCCGACGCTGCGGGGGTCTCCGTCTCCAGCGCCCGAGTGAGGGGTAGCTTCCGGCGGGAGTCCTGCCTAGCTCCCAGTTGCCCTCCACGAAAAGAGTTCAGGAGCGCCTCCCGCGGCAGGGCTGGGGAAACGGAGTTTGGGGGCCAGGGGCGCCCGTAGCGCGAGTCCACCTTCACTGGGTGAGCGTGCCGCCCCCGCCCCCCGCCCCAACCCCGTCAGCTTGGTGGGAACGTGCAGCTGCCACTAGCCACTCTCCACCGTGGTCTCTCTGCTGGAGGGACAGGTAGACACAAGTGACGAGCTGGCTGGGGCCACCTCTTGGCCACACCCTGCCAAGGCAAACCCATGACTCTTGTACCTGGAATAAGGAATCCGGGCTCTTGGAGAGACAGTCAGCCCAGGAAGGCTCAGTGGGTGAGGGAAAGAGGGGCTTGGAGGCATGGGGGCAGAGATAGTGCAGCAGATAAGGCGCTTGCCTTGCACACAGCTGACCCAGGTTTGATCACTGGCATCCCTATGGTCCCCCAAGCACAGTCAGGAGAGTACAGAAACAGGAATAAGCCCTGAGCATTGCTAGCTGTTCATGCCCCCTACACACACACACACACACACACACACACAGAGGGATCCTGGGCCTGCTTCTCCCCAGACCCGGTTCAATAAATGGAACCTGCCCTGAAGCTGCTCCTCCACCCCACACTGAATGTACAGAGATTGGTGTCTCAGGCTGCCGTACTTCTGAGCCTCAAGCTTCGGACCTGAACAGGAGTTAGTCACCAGGTCCCCTGGCCCCTGGTTTTCCACCTACAACTTCCCTGATGGACTAGGTCATAGAGAGAGAGGACTGGGACTATGTGCTTCATTTGGACAGTTTGTGTCTTCTCCCTGTCTGCACTAATCGTCAATGCCCCAGCCACCTACTGACCTTGGCCTTGGTCAGAGTGGACGGGTCCCTCAGCATGTTCCCTCCCGCACAGTGAAAGTCTGAAGGACAGGCCCTCCCTGCTGGAGGATGTGGGGTAAATCGACTATCAGGCCTGGGGGTGCTTCTGAGGGTGCATGGCAGCACCACCCCTGGGGCCACCTTTGGCCTCTCTACCCTGCTCCCCCAGCTTCAGATGGGGGCACCTCCCCCATGCTTGAGACCCCTGTGCTGACCCTGAGCCCCAGCTCCAGGGAGCCATGCAGCTTGACAGGTCAGTCACTGGGCACCTTCTCCTGAAATGAATCAGGGAAGGACCTGGGCACTGAAGCGACCAAGCCTGGTTTGCATGACCAGGTGTCCCTCCCTCCCCCCCCCCCCCCCCAGCATCTCCATCTTCCTTGCAGGTCCAGCGTAGCTCCAGGCACACAGGTTCTTTCCTATCTCAGCTTAAGAAAACCCTCTCCTGGGCTAGGCTGGAGAGAGAGCATAGTAGGGAAAGCTCTGGCCTTGCATGCAACCCTGATTTGATCCCCAGCAGCACATATGATCACTGACCATAGAGCCAGGATTGGTCCCTGAGCAGAGCTGGTGTGACCCAAACACACACACACACACACACACACACACACACACACACACACCGGGAAGGAAAGGAAGAAACCCTCCCCTCCCAAGAGAAAGGAGGTTGGAGCAGTGTTTGGAAGAGGGTGACAGACAGAGGTCTGCACTCTCAGGACCCCACTATGGGAACATCGTACAGTGAACCTCAAGATAGTGTCTGGGTAGAGCAAGAACCCCAGAATCCTTCCTCTAGGAGAGCTGGCAGGAGTGCCTGGCCCTTGAGGGTGGCCTCTGGGTCACTGCCTTCCCCAGTCCTTATATGACCCAACCCAGCCAGGCTATTCTCCAAAATACCAAAAAAAAAATTAATTTTAAAAAATGTGTGCTGTTGCAGGCCTCCTCCTAGGGAGAACTCAGGGCCCACTCTGGGAGGCTCATGAGCCCCGACCTACCCTGCCTCAGCCCCCTCTTCCTATTGACACTGGCTCTGCACACAGGCAGACCATTTCAGCATCAGGGGTGGGCTCAAAGGTACTAGGAAAAACTGGGGGCTCTCCAGTGGTGGAGCTGCAGATAGGCTGCAGTCCCAGAATTATCTCTGGCCTGGACTGACCCCAGCTTGGACTGTGTGCACCCACCACCTACTGGTGAATGAGGATGTCCAGGCAGGAGAGAGGCACCTGCTGGGTCCCCCAGCCCAAGGGACTGCGTCTCTGGGTTCCACAGGCACAGGGGCTCACATCAAGGAGGCCAGCAACGAGCTCCTCTGCCCACCGGGACGATGCCCATGCTGCATGGGGGCAGCAGGGTGGTACAGCTGCAGCCATTCTGTTTTCTGCGGACTGGTGCTCATTAGGAATGGGAAAGGGAGATCATGTATGTCCATGGGGAAAGGGGCGGGGGGCTTGCAGCCAGGTTAAAGAGCTGACCCAGGGGCTGGAGCCATAGCACAGCAGGTAGGGCGTTTGCCTTGCACGCGGCGACCTGGGTTCGATTCCCAGCATCCCATATGGTCCCCCAGCACCGCCAGGAGTAATTCCTGAGTGCATGAGCCAGGAGTAACCCCTGTACATCGCTGGGTGTGACCCCCCCTAAAAAAAAAGAGCTGACCCAGGCCCGGAACCTGAGTCAGAGAACTGAGGAGCCACTTAGGTTTCTTAAAGGGGCCCAGAGGTCTCAGCAACCCTCAGCCCCTCCAGACCTCTTCAACCAGTTACCAAAGCATGACAACATGGGACTCCCCCACATCCAGAAATGCATCCAGAAATGCTCCCCTAATCCTAGCTTCCAGGATGGGTCTGCCAACTACCCCTGTCCTCAGGCCCAGTCAGGAAGAGAAACCTCAATGATGCTACCCAATTCCTAGGCCCTGTCCTCTCCCAGCTCTGCACCGACACCTGGAGGGGCTTCTGTCACTCCTGAAGGCTCTAGGACCTGAAGGCACTGGGAGGAGCATCAGCACTACCCTCGGGTGGTCCAGCTCCTGAGCGTGCACGTGCACTCCCAGTGTGAGCCCAGGGGTCTGGCCACAGAGCAGACTGGCTGCTCACCTCCTGGGGTCCTAAGAGGAAAAATTGGGGCACCCAAGCCCCCACCTCTGAGCGATACACAAAGCCCAGGGCTCTCCTGGTGACTTCCTCTGGGGCGGTCCCATCGGCATGCATGAAACAAACGCAACCTCAGGCTGCCCACTGAGTCCTGAGGACACACTTGAGAAGTGGGCAGTCTGAGGGTCAGGCTGTGCCCCCCGCCCTCCATCCACATGGTCCTCTTGGCATCCCATGCTCCTCCACTCCCCAGAAGCCCCAGAAGGCCTCGCTGTAAACCACTGCCGACTGGCCTAGCTCCACCCTTCCTGAGTCACCTGGCTGTTACCTGCAAGACCAGCTGCTGCCAGGCCATTGGCAGGGGCTGCCCACTGCCCATGCCACCAGTGCCCACTCCAGGCTGCTGAGCGCGCTCCAGCTGGAGGGCCACATGGCGCCGCTCCTGCTCCAGTGCCCGCGTCAGCCGCTCAAAGCGAGCCTCCTGCTCCTTCACCGAGGCCAGGATGCTGGCGGCCGAGTGCACGTTGCAGTCCTCCATGGCGGGGGTGCCCGCTGGCTGCAAACAAAGCAGAGCAAGGTCAGGGTGGGGCTGGGGCCATCAGGGCCACCTGTACCTACCCATCCCCTCCCCCCTCCCCTGGCAACCACCCTCCCCACCCCAACCCTGCTGCACATGCAGATCCTCCAGCTCGCTCCCAACAGGAGCATCCAGCTCTCTGGAGACAAGCCACATTGATTAAATTCTAAATTAAAAGCCATGAATCTGAGGCTAGCCAGAAGCAGCTGGCTCCCTCCCTGTAGGGCCTGGGGCTCTGACCTGGGTTATTCCACTTCCGACTAGACCAGAAACCCTGGGCATCCCAGAGTCCAGTGCAAAGAGCAGGACAGGGTAGGGCAGAGTGGGAGGCACTGGTGTGACCCATGCTCGGACTTCAGGCCCCTGCTGCCTGCCTACCCTGACCTATGAGAAGCAGATCCACAGTGCTGGGTACCCACAGGAAGCTTAGGCGGGTGTGGGGTAACAGTGGCTTACAGATCAGTGGACTGGCCCACACGCACAGTCACATGGGCCAGGAACAGGGCAGCATCTATCCACATGGCAGGAGGCAGCCCGAGTGCAGGCCTGGGGAGCAGCCCCCAAACCTGATGGCCAGTTGGGAAAGAGGTAGAGGGTAAGGCCTGGCTTCCAAGGCCCAGCACTTGGATCAGGAGGATCAAGCCTGCCTGAGCCCCAGCCCCGGAGCACCCCAGGGGCCCGGGAGGAACAGGAGCAGGTGGAGGAGGCCAGCCAGAACTTTCCTCACTGTGCGCTTTCGAGCTGGCTTTCGTGGGCAACGAGAAGCAGAAGGGCAAAGCCTGAGGGACGTGCTCTAATGCACGCAGGGCCTGACCTCAGAGACAGGGACCAGGCTGGGAGGAGCCGGCCTCCCTGGAGAAGAGTCTGCACTGGGCATGGAGACATCCACGCTTGCTGGCCAGAGACACAAAGGGTGCATGGGGACACTTCAAGGGGAAAGGACAAAAAAAAAAAAAAGCTTCTAACTATCTCACGGTGATTTAATAAAATTAATAAAAAAAAAGGGGGGGGTGGGAAGGACAGCTCAGAGGCTGGGGTGCCGGGACAGCTGAGTAAATGAAGGTCCAGTGAGGACAAGAAGTCCCCACCACGGCTGCCAGAAGCTGCCTCTCCCCTCCCCAGAACTCGCCACACAAATCAGTCTGTCGGCCTGACCGCACGTTGTCGGGGCAGCGATGTTCACAGAGCCGGAAGAAAGGGCTCAAAGGCAGCTCAGGCCCCTGGCCCACAGGGGATAAAGGACCCACAGAACGGCACGTCCTGTGTGGGCACGCAGGCCGCTGTGCAGGGGCTGATGTGGTGGGCACCGCCAGAATTAGACACGGCCTGTGCTGTGTATGATGCACTGAGCACTGAGGGCAGGGGTGGGTGGGCCGAGCCGGCCAGGGCTGGCGCCAGATTTCCTGCCCTTTCCTCACCAGCCTAAGAAGCTGCATCCCACTGCAGGGTCCAGGAATAACACGATGCTGCCCTCAGTCGGGGGGCTGGAACCAGGTCACATGTGAGAGACAGAGCTGTACTCTGGGAATCCACAGCCAGGACCCTCTGGGGCCAGGCAGGGGCTTCCTGCCATTCTGGTGCATACCTCAGCCTTCACCCCTGTTCCCCAAAGATCCAGGATCCAAAGATCCCCTGTACACTAGGGGAAAAGCCCACACAGACAACCGTAGCCCCTTTCCTGCCCTCCACCCTGGAGCCTACCCAGATCCAGGATCCAAGCAGCCCCCCCCCCACACCGACCTGAAGGGGCCCTCTAGTCCCAGCTGGGGGCTGGCTGGGGGCCTGGAATTCTGAGGCTGTGGTGAGAAGGTAGCCGAAGCTGCCACTGACCTTCCCCGAGCCCAACCACTCAGCAGAGCTAAGTGCCTGGGTGTCTCCCAGGCAACACCCGCTCGCACCAGGCCTGGGAGCTGAGCACACCACAGTCACCCATGGCACGGGGCCCTGGGCCCACCTTTGTCCTTGTCCAGTCAGAGGGTGCTCCCCCTTACCCCACAAAAGCCCCTCAGGGGCCTCAGGGCAGCACAATGTGGGTGAAGGGGAGAGACAGGAGTTGGGGCACCCAGGAAGCAGGACGGGCCCCTCCTTGCAGAAGCTCATGCAGGCACAGGTGACTCCGGCCAAAACCCCTGAACACTGTTTGTGCACTAAAGCAATGAGTATGTGATGCTCGGGTGGCCCGATGTGCAGAAATGTTAATGATGCTTCCCCAGAGGCACTCTGGGGAGATGCTGTTAGTCCTGGGGGTAGGCATGAGCGGCACCAGACCTGGATCTTCCTTCTGTGACCTTGGAGTGGTGGGCACAGGCAGAAGGGCCATGCTATGGGTCCTCACAGACTGTCACTCTCCTCCCGGCCATCAGTGTCCACCCACGGGAAGTGTGCCCCATACTCTGTGGGCATGGCCCTCCCAGCACCATCAACCAGCTGCACAATTCCTCGGCACTTCCTGCATAGACCCACAGAGCAGACTTTACAAGGTCAGAGCAAACGGGCTGGAGCGATAGTATAGCAGGTAGGGCATTTGCCCTGCACGCAACCAACCCGGGTTCGATCCCCAGCATCCCATATCCCATCCCGAGCACTGCCAGGAGTGATTCCTGAGTGCAGAGCCAGGAGTAACCCCTGAGCATTGTTGCGTGTGACCCAAAAATCCAAAAAAGAAAAAAAAATAGATCAGGGCAAACATGCTACCCAGGGCCTGTGCAGGGGCCAGGGCAGGAATGGGCATTGGCCTGGGCAAGGCAGTTGCCACCAGTAGTGACCCTGCAGGTCAGCACCACTTCATGGGCTAGGAAAGGTGAGGAATATGGGGAGGGCTAGGGTGGACATCAAACCCCAACACAATATACCACCCGGAGTTGCAACAGCCGTGACCTCCCTAACACAGGCCCAGAAGTGCCTTCACTCCCAGAACTCTGGGGGCAAAGGGACTCCACAGAGATGGGGAGAAGCTGCATACACACAAAGGCTGTGAAGGGATGCACGGACGGAGAGGCATGGGTTCAAGGCTGAGTGGATGGGAGGACGGGGAGACAGAGGGACAGAAGGGATGGGACAGTAGGTGAATGGATGGATGGTGGGTGGACGCAGGGACAGGAAGACAGAAGGCTGGCCGGAGGGACACGGATGCATGAGTGAAGGGCGAATGGAGTAGGTATGTGCAGACAGAGAGGATGGGGTGGGGCACAGGAGAGCAGCCATGGGCAGAGTGGGGGATAAAGGTGGAAAGCCGACTGGTGGGATGGAGGGAGGTGGACAGTTGCGGGGGCGGGGAGTGGTCACTGTGCAAGGTGGAGACACTCCTGGGGGAGGGACCCAAGTCCGCTGGGAGATGGTGTGGCCAATCCTCATTCCCTCAGGCAGGAAAGTGCAGGCACCTTCAAAGGACAGGAGAGACACGGGTCCTTCCCCCAAACGGAAGCCCACAGCTGATGTCTTCCTGCTGACCCAGACATTCCTCCTCACCAGAGCCCTGCCAAACCCTGCTCCAGAAAATCAAATTACGGGGCTGAGTCTAATCCGGGTTGAGGAATTAGAGGAATTTCCTAAGGGCTGGGCCAGAGGCAGCGGCGGGAGGTTGAGCCCCTACAAGCCACCGCGGCACCCTGCCTGCTGTCCCTGTGAATTTGGGAGGGGCGAGTGGGCACGGCACTCACAAGTCACCAACCCCAGCCTGTCCCTCCCATAGCCCTTGACATGAGGGGCAGAAGTAGGTCTAAGAGCCTGCTCTCTGCTGGGAGTGGAGGTTGGGGGAGGCCCCTCGATGGTGTCACCCCACCTGCCCGCCCTGCAGTGCCGGGGACAGCCCTGCCACAGGGGCAGCTTCAGCCAAGCCCACAGGGATGGGAATTCACCCAAGGTTGGGGCTGAGCTTGGGCAGGCCTCCTGGAACTGGGTTTAACCCTGGCAGGGTGCATGTCCACCTGTCCATCCCAAGCAGGACAGGACTGCGGGGCTCCTGGCAGTCAGGGCAGGAGCCAATGGGCAGTGGGGAGTAGGCTGCCCCTGAGCTGAGAGCAGAATGTGCCAAGAAAAGATGGGCAGCCTCTCTCAGGAGACTGAAGCGGTTCTTAAGTCCCCTCCAAAAGGGTCACATGCTGTGCTGTGTCTTGGTTTTGTTGTATGTTTTGGGGCCACACCCAGCGATACTCAGGGCGTACTCCTGGCTCTTCATTCAGGAATCAATCCTGGAGGTGCTCAGGGACCATATGGGATGCCGAGGATCAAACCTGGGTCAGCTGTGTGCAAGGCAAACATCCTACCACTGTACTATCACTCCAGCCCCTCTCACATGTTTTATTGAAAGATAATTTTTTGGGTTTGATTTGGTTTGGGGGCCTTACTCAGCAGTGCTGGGACAACTCCCAGCTCCAGGGTCACTGTGGACTGTGCTCAGGGAAACTTTCAGTTCCAGGGAGCAAACCTCCTGCATGCAAAACATGTGTCCCTGCCCTCTCAGCTCTTTCCACCACCTCATTTTTTTTTAATTTTTTAAAATTTTAAAAAAAATTTTATTAGTGAAACACCATGAGGTACAGTTGTAGATTTACAAATTTTCGTGCTTGGGTTTCAGTTATACAATGATCGAGTACCCATCCCTCCACCAGTGCCCATTTCCCACCACCATGGATCCCAGTATCCCTCCCACCCCCCACCCCCGCATCCCACCCTGCCTCTGTGGCAGGGCATTGCCTTTTGTTCTCGCTCTCCTTTTGGGTGCTGTGGTTTGCAAAAAAGGCATCGAGTGGCAATCCTGTTCGGTCTATAGTCTACTCTCAGCATGCATCTCCCATCCTGGGAGGGTCCTCCCTTTATTTGGTGGTCCCTTCTCTATCTGAGCTGCCTTTTTCCCTAGCGTCCACCACCCCATTTTTAGAGTCAGACTATGCAGAACATCGTGTTCAATGAGTGTTGGGATGAGCCAGTGGGACAGGCTTTACTTCTGGATAGAGACTTAGTCAGGGCGAAGCTGGTGGGGCACATGAGGACTCAGCCCCCAATTTCTAGTATTGTGTGTCTGCGATTTTCTATCATAGGACAGAAGGAAGCAAAAAAGAGCCAGAGATGCGTCCTAGTGGTTGAGCATCTGGCTTATGTGTGTAAGTTCCTGGGGTTGCCACCCCTAGCACCTCAAAAAAAATTAAAGAAAACTAAAGACAAGTGCCAAAGTAGCATCAGGGCTTTCCATCAGCCAGCAATAAATTGCTACCCTCCATCTGCAAGGGGCTCCTGTAAATCAATAGAACAAGAAATGAAGGTATACGGGCCAGAGAGATAGTACAACGTGCAGGGCATTTGCCTTGCATGTGGCTGACCCAGGTTTGACCCCCCAGTACCCTACATTGTCCCCTGAACACTGCCAGGAATGATCCCTAAGCTATTCCCAGAAATAACCCTTGAGCACTGCCAGGTGCCCCAAACAAACAAACGAAAAGATGAAAGTCTGACTCAAAGTGGGAAAAAATTTCTACGGGTTCCATGCTTGGTATCACATAGGGTTCCCTGAGCACCACAATGAGTGACCCCTGAGCACAGAGCCAGGAGCAGTTCCTGAGCACTGCTGGGTGTGACCCAAACCCTCACCATGCAAAAAAAAAAAAAGTGGAGGGAACAGAGCCATAGAACAGCAGGTAGGGTGTTTGCCTTGCACACAGCCAACCTGGGTTCGATCCCCAGCATCCTATATGGTCCCCTGAGCACCGCCAGCAGCAATTCCTGAGAGCAGAGCCAGGAGTAAACCCTGAGCATCGCCAGGTGCGGTCCCCAAAACAAGGACAAAAAAGATGATGACCCGGGGCTGTGGACACAGACAGGTGCCAGGCCATGAGCGTGGAAAGAAGGGTGGGAAGGAGCATGGCTGCGACCCACAGGGCAGCGCGGCCGCCTCCAGGAGCATGCCAAGGTTGTCCTCAGAAGAGAAGAGCAGGCGCCAGCCCAGCAGGGGAGCAAGGGAGCGGGCCTGGAAATCCAGTTCCGGGGGTGGGGGAGCTCCCAGCCCCCTCACCCCGGGGGAGGCAGTGAGATTTTCAGGGAGCCAGAGCTCCATGATTAGATTCCGCCTGCAAATCACATTTCCCAGCAGAGACTAGACCAGGCGCAGTGGGGGAGGGCAGACAGAGCCGCCCCTGGGGCCTCCTGCCCCAAGGCTGCCCCCACAGATGCCCGGCAGCTCAGCTCTGTGAGGACACACTGGGGGGGACATTGTCTGGAGTCCCCTCGGTCCAGTGATCAGGTGCAGGGTGGTTCTGTCAGCCCAAGGGAGCGAGGTGGGGTAGGGGGCTCCGTGACCTGCTTCTGCAGAGGTTAGAGCACCGGAGGTTCGGGAAGCTGAGAGCCTGGGACCAGCCCAGGGCTGGGGGTGGCAGAAATAGATGACACCTGGCAGGTGGCATCCCAGCTGCCGCCCCTATGCCAGGGGAGCCATACAGTGCTGCCATCGGGGCTCTGAAGGGTCTCAGTCCTCTGGGGTTGGTCACAGACATGACCTTCCTGTGCCAAATGTGCCCCAGAGAGTTCCCCAGGGTGTCCCCTCTCTTGAGAAAATCCTGGAAGTGGGTGGAGAACAACCCCCCTGCCTCAGACCTGCCCCCCTGTCACGACCCCACTACCCTTGACTCAGATCCTGGCCAGTCATTGTAGTGGAGCAATGCCCTGCAGACCATGAGGATGGCCCCCCCTGCGGACAGCTGGGGGGCCCAGAGAAGCCCAGGAGGAGCCCACCCACTGCAGCCCCAAACCTGAGTGGGGAGACTGAGGGAGAAGGAGGGCTTGTACCCCCACAGTGACCCCCACTGGCACCATGCTGAACCGGTATCTCGCCTCCCTCATCAGCCCCCAGCCTGCAAGGGGTCCCGCATGGTCCCTCCCAGGGAGAGGAGGGGCACATGGCACTCCCAGCAGGGGCCTGAGCCCCGCAGTCACAGCAGTTGGCCCCCCTCCCGCCACCCCGCCGGCCTGTGTGCCTCAGTGCCCCCGCCTAGAATGCCCTTTTCCCCCACCAACCGGTGGACTCCCTTCTTCCCAGCCCCTGTCTCCATGGAAACACCCAGGCTTCTCTGGGAGGGACAGAGCCTCTTTGTGGCGGCACAAAGCCCCTTTGAGGGGAGGGGGGTTGCAGCCCCTAGGAGTCTGTGGTCATTAAGCATCTGGGGGTAAATCAGAGCCCCCCAGCCTACCGCCCAGACTGCAGAGTAAGGAAGCCAGGTGGGCGAGCCCGCCACCTATGGGAGTGCTTGGGAGGGGCTGTGGGCTCTGGGCGAGGGGTGGGGGAGGCTGTGGGTGCCCACTTCCTACCCTCAATGACAAGGACCTCATAGCCTGGACAGGCACAGGGGAATTCCAGCCTGACGACAGGGCTGAGTTAGCAGGAGAGAAGGGCCTGAGGAGGCTGGGGACCTGCACCCCATTTGCTGAGGGGCTGCGTATCGTGGTCTCTGCCTGCACCCCCACATGGGCCGTCATTTCTCTACCATGCCTCTCCTGCCTGACAGTCCCCTGAGGCTCGCGCCCCTACCCTGGACCCCCTCCCTGCCCTAGGCCACGGGTCCCTGCCTCCTGCCCACTGCTGACCAGCACTTGGCAGTGCCTGTGCGAGCCTGGCTCTCGGCCCACCAGCCCTGCCCCATGCCCTCCGTCTGACCCAGCGAAGCTAAGCCCGGGGCGAGGGGCCCAGGCCCCAGATGGGAGACACCGGAGAGACCCAGCCTTTTGGGAACAGCCTGACACAGCAGTGCCCCCTGAGTCAGCGAGCACCCCCGCACCCACGAGGCCGGCATTCCCCACCAGCATGCATGTTAGTTGCTGATGCTGCCGACCCTCTTGAGTGCCAGGACACACACACACCGGCCTGTCAGCACCCCGGGGTCAATCCCCACATTGTCCTGGGAGGGCTGGGGCCCACAGGAAAGGGGGCAGCTCCCAAGTCAGGCCAGCTGGGGCTCACCACCCAGGGAGATGAGACTGGGGCTCCCAGGGGCTCCCAGGAAGTAGGACTCTGGGAAGGGGCCACTCCTCTCCACCTCAGGACCTGAGCAGGGATCATGCCATTGGGCCCCAACTGCCCAGCACCCACAGCCGGGAAAGCTGGGGAGGTAAACAACCGCAGGGGTGAGGAGGAAGCCCGCCGTCTGGGTCACAGGGTCCAGCCCTCGCAGCTTCAGTCCTGGCCGGCAGCATCACAGTCCCGGCCCGCTTTCAGGGGCCCTTGGCAGGGACCCTCATGCATGGCCTCTGGCCAGCTCTGGCTCTCCCCGGAGCCCCTAGGAACACAGCTGGAGCCAGATTTGCTGTTCCCAGCACCCCCTCCCCCCCACCCCGGCCCTGCCTGGGAGCCAGCTGGCTGCTCCCAACGCTGGGGAGTGCCCATGGCAACTGGTCCAGACACAGCCACCCTCCAGTCCCTGCAGTCCCGCCTTTTATATGCAAATGGCGCAGCAGGGCCCGAAGGGCTCTCACCCACCCCCAGCCATGGTGCCCTGTCTGGGGCCTGTCTGCCCACCCCCACCCATACCGAGACCCCGAGAGGAGGCTGGGAGGCCTCCCCACCACGCCATAGGTGCAGACCAGTTCGGGGATCTCCTCAAACTTGAGTGCAGGCACACCCACTCAACCCACAACACACACACTGCCCGGGCACACACAATCTCCCCACGCCAATGTCCTGCACCATGGCTGGGACTCTGTCTGCCATCATCGCCCCTCCCTTTACCTGCCCCTTGAAGTCCTGACAGGTCCAGAGGGGCAGGGACAGGTAGGATGATGGTTTGTCCACCACCAGCCTCCTGGACAGGCCTCAGCAGCGCCCTGGCCACTGCTGGGCAAAGCTGCTCCCACCATGGAGCTGGGCTTATTCCAGACCCCATTATCTACCAGCCCATGGCTCCCGCCTCTGTCTAGCACAATATCTGGTCACAGAGCCGGGCAGAAGCGGTGGCATCTAGGCACCATCGCTCCAGCCAACCCTGCTGCCCTCCCCGGAGCCTTCAAAGCATGAGACGGCACTGACCTGAGGAACCGGGACACTCTGCCAGGCCAAGGAGAGCGGCAGAGAATGATGAGGGTCTCCAGGCTTCAACGCGGCCAAGGTAGTGAGGAGTAGACCAGGTTCTGCAGCAAATCAGCACGCGGAGATTCACCAGACAGAGCCGGAGGAGGGCAGCCCTTGCAAGCCAGCAGGAAATGAGAGAAGAGTTGAGAAAAGACAGATGCCAGGAAATGTGGAAAATGGCTCTCAGGGGGGTCACGGTTCCATATAACAGAATTACCCAGGGAGAAAGTGCAGACACAGGACTCAAGAAGTGATCAGAGCCCATCCTGACATAAGCCTTTGGAGGATTGCCAAGATCTGGGCTTTCGCTTTTCTCTTTGGTTCGGGGGCTACACCTGACAGTTCTCAGGGCTTACTCCTAGCTATGGGCTCAGGCATCACTCCTGTCAGGGTTTGAGGACCACAGGGGATGCTGGGTTTGAACTCAGGTCAACCACAGGCAAGGCAAACATCCTAGCACTATACTATCACTTGGGACCCCGGTGCATACTTGCATACTTTTATATATTTATTTTGACTTTTTTTTTTTTTGCTTTTTGGGTCACACCCAGTGATGCTCAGGGATTACTCCTGGCTCTTCACTCAGGAATTCTCCTGGTGGTGCTGGGGGACCATATGGGATGCCAGGAATTGAACCTGGGTCGGCCCTGTGCAAGGCAAACACCCTACCTGCTATGCTATCACTCCGGCCCTGACTTATTTGTTTTGTTTTGTCCTGGAACAACACCCAGCAGTACTCAGAGGACCATATGGGATGCTGGGGATCAAACCTCAAACCCAGGTCAGCCATATGCAAGGCAAATGCTGTACTATGGTTATGGTCCCACCCTGTGCCTACTCTTCAGCTTCTAATAATGTTCTTCATCAGTTCCTCCTCAGCAAAGCTAAAACAAATATTGAAAAGGAATAATTTTAGCTACCTTAATTTCATAAACTACTTAAAATTTCACAAGTTGTTTATATTTGAAAATGTAAAACTAAAACCCAATCACTTGTCCTTAGTGTATTTCTTTTTTTTGCTTTTTGGGTCACACCCGGCGATGCTCAGGGGTTACTCCTGGCTTTGCACTCAGAAATTAACTCCTGGCGGTGCTCAGGGGACCATATGGGATGCTGGGAATCGAACCCAGGTCAGCCGCATGCAAGGCAAACACCCTACCCACTGTGCTATCACTCCAGCCCCTTAGTGTATTTTTTGTATACTATTCGAAAATGAAAATATTTTAAGATATTATAAATACGGCAGGAAAGACAGTACAGGAGGTAAGGCACGTGACTTGCATGTGTCTTACCCTGGTTCAAATTCCTGCGCCACATGTGGTCCCCTGAGCACCACCAGGGGTCGCTCGTGAGTCAAGAGTCTGGCAGTCCATGAAGCTGGAGAGAGGGGGCTGGGTAGGTGGGGCTAGAGGTGTCACAAGGACCAGAATTGGGGTTTATCTTGAAGGTGATGGGGAACCTCTTGTGGGGGGATTGCCAGTAGTCAGACTAGACACATATTTGTGTAAAGATTCAACAAGGGGGGGTCGGAGTAATAGCACAGCGGGTAGGGCATTTGCCTTGCACACTGCCGACCCAGGTTTGATTCCCAGCATCCCATATGGTCCTCTGAGCACGGCCAGGAGGAATTCCTGAGTGCAGAGCCAGGAGAAACCCCTGAGCATTGCCGGGTGTGACCCCAAAAGCTAAATAAATAAATAAATAAGATTCAACAAGAGAACCAGACCCACCTGGTAAGAAGCAAGGGCTTGTCTACACTGCAGCCCCTTCCCTGCCCAAGGCTGCTAGCTTTAGACTTGGGGTCTGGCTTGAGGCTCATATCCACAGATGGTTCTGAGGAATTCAGTCAGTGCTTATCAGCAAGGGGGAGGGAGGAGCCCCCGAGTGAGCAGAGCGGACAGGTGGAGTTAGGACAGAAACAGTCACCAGGAACGGAGGAACCCACCAGTCTGTGTGGTGGAGACAGCCTCCCTCCCTGAACCCTGTGGTGGGGCACCCCCCACCCTTATCTGAATACCACCAAACTGGTCTTCATTAAAAATGAACCAATGCTTGAGGCTAGAGAAAAATTACAGTGAGTAGGGTGCTGGCTTGGTACAGGGCATCCCATACGTCCCCCAAGCACTGCTAGGAATAATTCCTGAGTGCAGAGCCAGAAGTAAGCCGTTTTAATCACTGGGTGTGGCCTCTAAACAAAATCATGCCCCAAACAAATAGATTTGGGGCCCAAACAATAGGCAGTTTGGGCACTTGCCTTGCACACAGCTGACCTGGGTTGATGTCTGGCAACCCATATGGTACCCCAAGCACCCAGAGGTAATTTCTGAGTGCAGAGCCAGGAGTAAGCTCTGAACATTGCCAGGTGTCATCCCCAAACCAAAAATCAAACAAACACAAAAAGAACCAATGCCCCAGGGGCCGGAGCGATAGCACAGCGGGTAGGGCGTTTGCCTTGCACAGGCCGACCTGGGTTTGATCCCTGGCATCCCATATGGTCCCCCAAGCACCGCCAGGAGTAATTCCTGAGTGCAGAGCCAGGAGTAACCCCTGAGCATTGCTGGGTGTGACCCAAAAAGAAAAAAAATTTAAAAAAAACAATGCCCCAGGCTGGGACTGCTTTTTCAAATACAAAAACTCAGTGAATCTGTCTGAGTTTTTGTATTGTTTCATAAAAACTCCCTGCAGTCAGGCAAGTGCCAGGGCATCTGCAATAAGGTGGCTGGGGTGGGCCTGGGGCAGGACCCAGCTCTCCTTGTCTCCCTGCCTCACTCCCCAGCCTCAGGCAGGGAGGCACAAGAGAGCAGAAGGTCCTATTACGTCACTGGTCTGAGGCCTCAGCTGGGACAAAGGGGGCTTTGGAATTCTGGCCCTTGTCCTGCCTCTAGATGGCTCCTATGGCCCCTAGGCAGCAAATGCTTACAGGTGAGGCTGCCAGTCTGGCCACAGGGCAGGCTCCACGGGGACACTGTCCCAGGATACTCGGGAGAAAGTCTCCTGGGCTCCAGCTCCTTCCGGAAGGTTCAGAGGTGGCAGGCGGCACACTCAGAGTGCACTGCTCCAGGCTGGACCCAGAGTCCAGCAGGCTGGGTGCTTGCTCTGAGGGCACCGCTGACCATGTCAGCCAGTCCTAAGCCAGGCACCCACCACAGGCCTCTACAGCTACAGTGGGTGCTGCAGCATGTTGTGGGTTGGGCCTGCTGTGTGTGGAGGAGCCCTCAGCTGCCCTCCTATGGGTGCTGTCACCACCAGCTTTCCCATCCCCCAGGGCATCAGCTGGAGCTAAGGAGGGACTGGGGGGCTCCAGCACCCACTGTGTGCCACATTCACAGAGCAGGGGGATGTCCACCTGGTCCCGATCAGCTGCTCACCTCTGACACTTGCTGGGGGCATCTAGCACCCACGTGCCAGCGAGGGATGAGAAGAGGCAGGCCCACCCCCAGAAGTCGGATCCCCTACTACACAACTGACCCGCCCATGGGGCTGTCTGTGGGGCAGGGCCCCAGTGTGAACTGTTTTGTTTTTGGGGCTTTTTTTTTTTTTTTGAGGGGAGAGGATTGGGGATATACCTGGCAATGCTCAGGGACTATATTCCTGGCACAGTGCTCAGGGATCACTCCTGTTAGTGCTCGGATCACCTGCATGCAAACCATGGGCTCACTCTGTCAAGTTATCTATCTCTCTGTCCCCAAGGTGGGTTTGCAGACAGGGCCAAGTGGTCTCATGGGACAAGGGCTGCCATTGCTCCGTCAGATGATCCCCACTGAGGCTCAGCTCCAGAGTGCATGCCCCTACACACACTACACACGTGCACACACATGCATACACACACACATATATACCCATACCCTGGCATATACATACATATGTATCCATAAACATGCAAACATACACACACATGCACATACATACACATCTCCACATACATATACATACAGAAATGCACACACGCAAATGGATACACGCACACACACGTATGCCCACCCAACCCACACCTCACTGCCGAGCCGACACCAGGCCTTTCTGCCATTTGAATTGTGACCAGTTCCGGGAATAAGCTATTTCTGTAGGGGTCTTTCCTGTAAGAGCTTCCTGCAGCCCAAGCGTCCATGCCAGGACTGTCCTCCCAGCTCCAAGCAGGGGGCTCTAACAGGCCCCAGACAGGCTGAGCCCCAGGAGTGATACCCAGGAGTGTGGCATTGGGGGATGGGAGGTGGGGAGCACCTATGATGCTGGGGAAGCGACCCACTGTCTCTCCATACCCACCATGGGAGTGGCCCCTGAGCACCACCACGTGTGACCCCCCAAACCCAAATCAAACAGACACAAGCCCACAAGCCCCCAGGAAGCTCCTCCTGAAAGTCTCGATGCCCAGCGTGAGCCCGTGAGCTCCTCCCTTTTCTATGTTTCCTAGAAACTACTTGACAGTTGACTTGCAATTTGAGGTGGAGAAAGGTGGTCTTGGGTTTGGCCTCCTGGCCTCTTCCCTGCTCTGACGTCCTTGTGAACACACCAGGGAGCTAGTCCTGCCTGCCAGGCCCAGCAGGCACCTGTGCAGACACCAGGCGTGGTCTAGCCCTTGGCGTGAGGGAAGGGAGGTAAAGGCCGCTAATACTCTGGGAAGGGGTGCCTGGCCTGGACCAACTCCTTTCTCTTTTAGAGTTTTTACAGCTCAGGCCTTGGTTTCCTCATCTGTACAATGGGTGCAACACCTCCCACCAAGCACTGTGGCCCATATCCAAGGAGGTCTGATGGACCATGGGTGGGGGGTATCTACCCACCAGGCTCTACCCTCTGGGGCACAAAATAAGGGCCTGAGGGATGCCTGGGCTGGCAGCCATCGTTGCAGTCTCATTATCCTGCAAAATGCAAACAGCAGCAAGTAACTTCAGAGGCATGAAGGGCTCATTAGAATTTCAGGGAGAGTGAAAATATTTTGAAAAGAAAAAGTTTAACTAAAGGCACATTTGAAATACCAAACCCATCCAACTCATCCATCGCAAATGTCAGCCTGGCAAGCTGCCCCTGGCGGAGGGGCACACTTGTCTCCCCCACTTGACACGGCAGTCCTTCCCAAGTCGGCGTCCCTGCCACATGGGACACACTTGGCCCAGCTGAGGGTCATGCCGGGACAGCGGAGGCCTGGGGCCTAGAGGGAGAGGGGCCCCTCGCAGTCTCATGGCAGAGGACACTCTCAGGGACAGTGTGAAGCTGAGCAGCTGGCGTGACAGCGAGAGGCTCCCAGGAGAGGCCACAGGAATGGGCCCGGGAAGGGGAGGGGCGGCGTGAAAACCCATGAACGAGGGCCCTGAGGCCTGGAGCAGAGACGCCTTGTGACTCGCTTGTGGGAAGAGGCCCTCACCACTGGGTTGGGCAAGGGAGCCCCCACCCGCTGGCCCTGCTGCCCCAGCACTGCCCCACAAAACCCCTGAGCAGGGAGAGCAGAGTGGACAGTCCTCAAAGCTGGCTGCAGGAGCAGACCGAGGACACCTTTATGCCCACTGTGCTTCCTGGTAGCCTCGGGGATGACAGGAGCCGGGTCTGGACCCAGGCATGGTCAGAGAGACGGTTCTCTTCTCCTGTCCCTCCAGAGAAAGGGTTCTGGCTCCCCTGGGGACCTTTCCTGGAAGAGCCAGTCTGACAGCAGAGGCCCCGCCCCTGGCCAGGAGGAACCCCAGCTGCAGGGTGGCCAATGCTCCGCCCCCCTCCAGGCCACAAGGCAGATACACCCAGGACTGGCAGAACCCCCATCTGAGGGCGCGGCTCACCCCTGCCACGAGCCACAGAGCATGCAGATCCCCACAAAGATGTCAGACCATCGGCCCCACTTCCTCAGAGTGGCTGCGGGGTGCAGGGGTGTCCCCTCTTGGCAGTAGTGAGTGGCACTTGAGGGCCTGATGCTTGAAAAGAGGTCTGTGTCCCTTTTGGGGCTTCCAAAGGGGGCCCGCCGGGGTAGTGCCCTGGTCTTAGTAAATAAGGGGTGGCAAAAGAGGCCACCAGAGCCCCAGGACTGTAAGGGACAAGAGGCCCCACACCCACACACCCACGCACCCAGATGGGGCTCCAGGATCCATCTGCAGCAGAGACCCCCACGGATGAGCATGACACCTGAGTGTGTGGGCTGAGTGGGGGCGACCCCAGCAGAGCTGCCGCAGCGGCACAGGTCCCTGTTATGTAACATTTCCAGCTCCCAGTGACAGAAAGTATCAGCTGGGAAATGGCTCACACTCAACCATAAAAGACGAAGCTAAATCCTCGCCTCATGTATATGTCAAAATAAATCTGAGATGGATGAAATGCTGAGTGTAAAACACGAAAGCAGAAATACCCACAGGAAAGGGAAGATGCCTATTTATCTGGCGACATGCAGGGGAGGACACAGCACAGCACACAGAATGACGGGCTAACAGAAACAGGGAAACAGTCAACAGATTTCACCACAGAATAGAAAAAAATTCTGAAGAAATTGTCACTAAGGCTGGAGAGATGGCGCAAACATACTAGGCAGGGCTAGAGCGACGGGACAGTGTGGAGGATGTTTGCCTTGCATGTGGCCGACACGGGTTCTATCCACATCTCACATGGTTCCCCCACCGTGAGTAATTCCACCAGGAGTAATTCCACCAGGAGTAATTCCTGAGCATTGCCAGGTGTGGCCCCAAAACAAAACTGTAGCACTGTAGCACTGTCCTCCCGTTGTTCATTGATTTGCTTGAGTGGGCACCAGTAACATCTCCATTGTGAGACTTGTTGTTACTGTTTTTGGCATATGAATATGCCATGGGGAGCTTGCCAGGCTCTGCCATGCAGGTGGGATAGCTTGCTGAGCTCTCCAAGAGGGATGGAGGAATCGAACCTGCGTGCAAGGCAAAAGCCCTACCTGCTGTGCTAAATCTCCAGTTCATAAGACCCAAAAACAAAACAAAACCAAAAAAAATAAAAAAAACAGAAAGCTGAGAAGGGGCCAAGGATATGGTCTAGGGTAGAGTGTTTTCTTTCTTTTTTTTTTTGCTTTTTTGGTCACACCTGGCACTGCACAGGGCTTACTCCTGGCTCTGCACTCAGGAATTGCCCCTGGTGGTGCTCAGGGGACCATATGGGAAGCTGGGAATATGAAGCCGGGTCTGCCTCATGCAAGGCAAACACCCTACCCGCTGTGCTATTGCTCCAGCCCCAAAGGGGGTAGAGTATTTGCCTTACATGTAAATTGAGCATCACACACAAAATGGGGACAGGGTGGAGAAAAAAAGAAAAGAAAAGAAGTCTTTTTTATTTTATTTATTTATTTATTTATTTTGGTGTTCCGGCATCACTGTGCTCAGGGAATCATTCCTGGCGGGGTTCATGGGACCATATGGGATGCCAGAGATCAAATCTGGGTCAGCTACATGCAAGGCAAGCACTCTATTGACTGTACTATTGTTCTAGCCTCCAAGAAGTTATTTTATTATTTATTTATTTATTTATTTTGCTTTTGGGATCACACCCAGCGATGCACCGGGGTTACTCCTGGCACATGCACTCAGGAATTACTCCTGGTAGTGCTCGGGGGACCATATGGGATGCTGGGAATTGAACCCGGGTTGGTCACGTGCAAGGCAAATGCCCTCCCTGCTGTGCTATTGCTATAGCCCAAGAAGTTATATTGTAATAATAATAATGATGATGATTGGGGATGTTGATGATGACGATGACGATGACGATGATGATGATGATAAAGATTTAAGATGGAAGCTGGGAATCACATCAAAAGCCCAAGAACCTGGGGCTGGAGCAATAGCACAATGGGTAGGGCGTTTGCCTTGCTCGCGGCCGACCCGGGTTTGATTTTCAACATCACATATGGTCCCCCGAGCACTGCCAGGAGTAATTCCTGAGTGCAGAGCCAGGAGTAAACCCTGTGCATTGCCCTGTGTGACCCAAAAAGAAAAAAAAAAAAAGGCCGAAGAACCGTGGGTGGGGCCGGGGATGTGGCTGGGGCTGAGCACCTGGGCTCCATCCCTCAGAGGAAACCAAACAAATAAAACCACCTTGGGTGGGGCTGGCAGGACAGGCACAATGTCCTGACAAAGGACAGGGCTTTCTCGGCAGTGGGCGGCGCTGACGGGTCTGTGGGAAGGGGCACCCTGATCCAGCTGGCATCAGTACCACATCCACCCTGCCTCTGTGGCCCCTGACCCCACTGCTGCTCCTCAGCCCTGCGGTGCCCTCCTTTCTCTGCTGCCACCATCTGAGTGAGCGGCCCATAGGTGAAGATGGGGCACATCTGGGCATGCCTTTGTCCCAACCTTGTGCTGAGGCTGTCCCCAATCCCCTCTCAGCAGACACACCCACAGCCTGGCAGGAGCCCTAAGCCAGGGCCCAGATTCTGCTTCCTAGTCAATCAGACAAGGTCCAAACCAGAGCAGAGCGGGCACAAAGGCCATCATCCACCCCTGCAGTGCCCCCGGCAGACATAAATACTCAGTCATCACACATCGGAAGACAAACAGGAGACAGAGGAAGACATAGAGTCAAGGGTACCAGGCGATGGAGGGCACAGGGCCCACAGGCCCTGCTCGCAGCGTCACTGGTGTCTGCCTGGTCTGCCTGGACTTCAGGGGTTGGCAGCTTTTAAGCTATCCCACATCTGGGGGCCTGAGCGCTCTGAGCCTCTTCATCCAAACCAGAGGGCTCCACATGGCTCAACAGTCACAGGAACTTTGCCCTGCATGTGGCCAAATGGACTTTTGATGGACTTTTCCCATCAGCCCACTGGCAGCTTCCAGAAAGCAAGTCCTGAGCAGGGAGCTGAACCCTAGCAACTCCCTCATCCTATGGCCCCTCATCCCCCGCACAGTATGCTAGAGCACCAGAGCAAGGCACTGACTGGTCAGTGCAGCCCCTCACCGCCCCCCCAGGACACTACACCCTGTGGAGCAAGGACAGTCATTTGGGCAGGAGTCAGAGGCCATCCTGGAGGGAGAGGAGTGACCAGGGACATCTATAAGCATTCCCAATGTCCCAATTCAGCTGGTGTACCAAGATCTGACAAGACTGTGGGGCCAACAGGGCTTAACTAACCCCCCCCTGGGGGACCCGGGGGACACAGAGACCACTCAGTTCCTGCAATGTGTCCTGAGCATCGTGTCTCAGTTCCACACCCGCAGCGATACAGCAACACAGATAACACCCAAGGCCTGGGGCCAGCACCCAAGAGTGCATCCCTGGCTGGCAGCTCCCTGGGAGGCTGGGGAGATGCCCATTTATAAAGGGGGGGGGCTGAGCAATAGCACAGTCGGTAGGGTGATTGCCCTGCATGTGGCCAACCTAGGTTTGATCCCCTATGGCCCCCTGAGCACCACCAGGAGTGATTACTGAGTGGTGCAGGGCCAGGAGTAACTTACCCCTGAGCATTGCCAGGTGGGGCACCAAAATATCCAAAAAAAACCCAAGTGAAGGGAGGGGAAGAACTGTTACCACAAACACGGTGGTTGGCAGCCGCCACAGGCTTCTCCCTCGGCCAGATGCCACCCGCAGCAGCTGCCCACCCTAAACCCACGTCAGGCACTCACCTGGCTTGGGGGGAGATCAACATGTCCTGACACCCACCCTGCCAGCTCCAGCTCCTGCAGGGAAATGGGAGAGCACCAGGTGAAGCCAAGGGCCACTGTGTCAGCACGAAGCTGGGACTGTGCTCAGAGAAGACCCTGTAACCTGCCACACCCCCGCATGTCTGTGCCCTCTTCCCCCACTTACGGGGGCTGCCACACCCGCAGCAGTATGTCAGATGCTGTCCACTCTCCTTCAGATGGAGGATGGATAGTCCAAGGGCCGGGGGGCAGCGGTACAGCACAGGCCTTGCGTGCTGTGGTGTCCAGTTCCAGAGGGAAAGGGCAGGGGGGCTGCTCCAAGTTGTGGATCGGTGACACCTTTCCCCTTCCAGAAATCAGGTGCGCTTTGTCTTACAAGGCAGGTGGCAGTCCTCACCCATCAGGGACACAGCTGCTGCTTCCTGGGGGACCCTGCCAGGCACCGCTGACCCCACACTCCAAACTGCAGACTGTCCACTGGCCTCTTCTGAGGCTTCCTGTGGCCACCCCAGCCCCCAGGCCCCTTCTAGGCAGGGAGTACAGCCACTCAAGCCACTCAAGCCCTGAGACCAGAGCTGGGGCACACGTGTGGTCAGAGAACCACACAACATTCTGTCTGAGCAGACATGTTCCCTCTGTGTCGACACCTGGGATACTGCCGGGAGTGTCATAAAAATGGACAGTGTGTGTGTTGGGGGGCGGTGGCAGCTGGGGAGGGTCTGGGCAGTGGCTGGGAGGTCATCTCTGGAGGGACCAGCACTCTCTCCCCTCAGGTCTCAGGTACATTCCAGGCTGTTCCCAGTCTGGTCCCACCTCGTTCTTGTGGACATGGACACCAGGGGCCCAAGGGTAGTTCACGCACCCCATGGCAGCCCCATCATCCTTGAGAGAGGTTTCATGCCAGGGTGAGGTCGGGGAAGCAGCATCAGGGAGGGTAGAGGCAGGGTGTGTGTGTGTGTGTGTGTGTGTGTTTGTGTGTGTGTGCGTGTGTGTGTTTGCGCGCGCGCGCGCACGTGCATGTGTGTGTATAAACCAGCATGAGTGCAGGAGAGGCAAATGGGCATTGTTGATTGGGGTGTGTGTGTGTGCCCAGGAGGCAGGTGGCAGGCGTGGGGTGTGCGTGTGCGTGTGTGTGTGTGTGTGTGTGTGTGTGTGTGTGAGAGAGAGAGAGAGAGAGAGAGAGAGAGAGAGAGAGCCATCAGGAATGCCCAGGAGGCAGGCGTGATTGGTGGTCCCTGCATACTGCTATCATCCTCCTGGCCCACAGCAGAGGAGATGCTGTGAGATGCTGCGCCTACCCAAGGCCTGAGTTTTTTTTTTTTTTAAGAAGTCAGCTTTTGGGGCCGGAGTGATAGCACAGCGGGGTAGGGCGTTTGCCTTGCACGCAGTCGACCTGAGTTCGATTCCCAGCATCCCATATGGACCCCCGAGCACCGCCAGGAGTAATTACTGAGTGCATGAGCCAGGAATAACCCCTGTGCATTGCCGGGTGTGACCCAAAAAGCAAAAAAAAAAAAACGAAGTCAGCTTTTGCACAAAATGTGACATTTCTGGGACGCCTCTGCCTTTGGCTTAACAGCTGTGTGGACCCTGTCCCCTGGGAGAGGCTGCACGCCTTTCTTATCAGTCCTGATAGCCAAAGCGTTCCCATGGCTGCTCCTGCGAGGCCTTGGGAAGCACAAACTGAGCCCGGGCACACCTCTCATGGCCCCATGCTGTATAGACCTAAGAATCGTGCTCAGGAGATGGGCCCCCATGCTCCTGTACACACCAGGAGTGGAGGCAGGGTGGCCGGACCGAGGGCAGGCCCAGAGGCTGGTCCGAGGTCCTGGGGTTATACCTCAACCAAACCTCTCTCTCTGCTGCAGTGGCGGGGCAAGGGGGTGGGCTTTCTCACTGTCCTGGCCTGAACCCACAGCAAGCACCCGACATCCAGCCTGTGGTCTCCCTCTATCTGCCCAAGGGTGGTGAGGACACGGGGACCCTGGAGACTTCTCTTCCCTCCCCTACACCAGGGAGAGGCAGCCTGGAGGGCGGAGCTTGTCCTCCCCACTGGGACTGGGCAAGCCAGCCAGGGTCCTGTGGCAGGCAGGCAGCAGGGTGTGAAGCAGCAGGGAGGTGCTCCGGCCCCCTTGTGGCCACACTCCACCTGGTTTGTCACAACTTCCCTTGCTGGCCCCCTGGGAGCAGGAAGGGAAGATGGGGGACCTGGAAATGGGTTCATCTTCTGATCTGTCAAATGGGCCAGTCAGAAAAGGACACAGGGATTGGAGTACAATGGGCAGGGCGCTTGCCTTGCACACGGGTGACCTGGGTTCCATCCCTGGCATCCCATATATTCCCTGAGCCCACCAGGAATGATCCCTAAGCACCACTGGGTATGACCCAAAAAGATAACGAAGAAGAAAAAAGAAAAGGACCGAAAGGGGTTCCCCTCTCCCCCGGTGATCCTCTAATTCTGGGAGCAGTTTAATGGAAGCGGGAGGAGAGAAAACAGATGTCCTCTCCACTCAGGCTGCCGCTGGAGAAGTTCCCGGAAACCCTGTGGTCCCGCTAGTATCCCACAGCACCTGCCCCCCGCCCACGTGACCCAGTTCTGCCCCTCCCTCGGTCTGCTGGGCCAGACTAGGGCTGGCTGAGGCAGGTGTCCTGGCGTTCTTGGCCTCTTGGGGCTGAGACCCTGCCATTCATACCCTGAAGCCTGTCTCTTAGTGGAAGGGGGAGGAGTGAACCCCCAAACATCTTGTGTGTGCAGCACAAACACAGGCACAAAGACGCAGCCCTGCCCTTGTGGAGCCCGGCAGATACAGAGGGGGCCCCCGCCTCTGGGGCCAGCTCTAAGCAACCCAGGTGAGGCGGGGGGCCTCTACTACCTAATACCTTGGACTCAGGCTTTGCCCATTTGTCAGGAGGAGCGATGGCTGAGGACATCTAGCCAAGTTCATGTCAGTAGCCCAAGCAGAAAGAGGGAGGCAGGGGCACGCTTGGCTGCAATCCAAGGACCTTCCCAGGACAGGACCGATGTCCCCAAGCCTAGTACTCTGAGCTTAGTCCCGGGCCCACCAACCTAGGGGGCTATAGGCGGAGGTGGGAAGGGGGGTGGATTCCCTGCTACAGCGGGCAGGGATGAGGCCCAGGTTTCAGCCTGACCCCAGGCCTGGAACACCTGCCACTGGCCAAGGGCCCGGGTGGCACTGTCCCAGGTGTGCAGCTAGATTGAGCACAGGACAGGCAGAACAGAGGGAGGCAAGCACAGCCTGGTACAGCCTGGAGCCCACAGTGCAGGTGGCAGAGTCAGAAGGGTGTGGGGGTGCAGCCTCAGCGGGGGATCCCCTCACAGGCACTCAGTCCCCCACCCCCTGTCACCCTTGGGCTCAGGGATCCTGAGCAGCTATGTGTGCTGCACCGGGAGTGGGCGACATGAGAAAGGGGTGTGAGTGAGGGTTCACTGCCTGGGATTTCCTGAAACCAGCTTTTCTTTCCCTTCCGACACACGCCTGAGTCCACGAAGAAGGGGACCCTGAACACCCCAGTTCCATTTCCACTTTTACGTTACGCTTAGGTCAAAACGATGCAACGCCGTAAGGAGACAACATTCAGTTATTCAACGATTTAAATGGGAGGTCCGGGGTTCTCAGACTAGCGGCCCACGGGCGACATCCCAGCAAACCCGGGGCGGAGGACCACGCCGAGCAGGGAGGGGGCGCCTCCGCCCAGAGTCCAATGCTCCAAAGCGCGGGGGGCGGGGCGGGGGACCCAGGTTCGGGCACAGGGCAGCGGGACTCCCTCGTCCTCCAGGTGGCGGGAGTGGCCGGGGGCGATCCCCTTGGTCGGGCAGTGCTCCCCGAGGATCCCGGCGGCGCGCCGCCCCAGGAAAGTTCCCGGGCCCCACCGTCCCTCTGGCCGTGGCAAAGTTTCGGTGGCGGCTCGGCCCCATCTGCCAGGCGGGCATCGAGCGCGGAGGACGCGGCTGCGGACAGTCCGCCCGCGAAGGGCTGCGGCGCCCCAAGCCGGCCGCAGCAGACCGCTGGGGCAGGGCCGGGAGGCCGCGCACAAAGGGACGCGCCCCCCGCCTCCGGGGTCTCGCGCACCGCGGCAGCGCCCGCGAGGTAAGGGTGGGGCGGGGCGGGGCTCCGACCCCGGCGCGGACCCGAACCCCTGCCCGAACCTCGACCCGCTGGCTCAAGACCCAGTTTAGGAAACCTTGGCGATCGTAGCCGGGATCCCGGCCGGAGCCTGCATCCAGCCACGCCCAATCCCAGCAGGGACCCCCGGCTTCTGACCCTGGACCCCGCCCCCCGTCGGAGCTTACCTGGAGCGCGGCGTGGGCGGCTCCGCAGCGCGGCCCCAGCCCCCAGACGGGCGTCTCCAGGTCCCCGGGCGCGCGCAAGGTGGCCGTGCACTGGGCGTCAGCTCGGGCCGGTGCGGGGCCGGACCCCTCCCGGGCCCAGCGTGCAGCCCCCCGGCCAGCCCTCCCCTCCCCTCGCGCGGCCCGTGCGCAAAGCGGGCTTGGCCGGTGACGGTACCCTCCGCCCCGCCCCACCGGACCGCGAATTTTCCCATTGGTTAGGTCACCCGGCGCGTCTCGGCAACCGGCGCCGATTGGATGAGAGCAGGGAGACGACGGGTCACCATTGGTTTCTAGAAATGCCCATCCAGCTCAGAGACCGGCCCCCTCGTGGAGTGGCGGAGGCCCAGGCACCTGCCGGGATCGCTGCGGCGGCAGCTGGACCGCCGCCCCCCCAGTTTCTCCCGGGCGCCTCCGAAGACGATTCCGGACCTTCCGGCCTGGAGCGGAGGTTGGCAGGCCCAGCGCTCCTTCCCCAGACCTTGTCCGCTTTCCTTCCATCATTATCCCAGTCCCCAGGACTCCTCCAGCGCCAGCCCTTGGTCCGGCGGTGCTTCCCGCGCCCTCCCGTGGACATCAAATTGCATTCCTCATACTACCCGCGAGGGAGAGTCGTGCTGCCATCCCATTTTCCAATTGGGAAAAGAAGGCTGGAAAATGCTCTCACTTGATTCAGTTACAAGAGAACGCAGCCCATCCATTCCTGAGACTGGCGGCACGCCCATTGTCCCCGGGGTTCCCTAGCAGAAGCCGGGATGTGGGCTTGGCTCAGCGAGACCAGGATGAGAGCTGTAGGGTTTCCAAGGGCAGGAAGGAACCTTCTGATGACTGGGGGGTTTCTTCAGCAACCAGGCCTGAACCTACAGACACACTTTGAGTTCAGCCCAGCCTGCGGGACCCAGTGGCACTGCCCTAACTTCCTTTCTCTGTGCCAAGGCTGTGGCTGTGGGACTGGGAGGAGATTGTGCATTTATCAATCTTTCCTTTCCTCCTGTCCCTTTTCCTCCACCCTCCTGGATCGTGGAAGCACTCTCCAAGATCTAGCCACTTCAGCCTGAGGTTAGCACAGATCACACCTCCCTGCCAGGTGGACGGCAGTGCCATGGTCCTGACAGTAACCCAGGCCCCACGTGATTCCACAAATGGGACAGTAACCCTCTGTCAGCTCCCCTGAGTTTGTATGGGGGAGGGGGAGAATGACCAGCCACTACTTCTCACTGGGGTTTATTTTTAGAGGTTCCCCCAGACGCTTGACCCTGGGCTAGTGACTCTTGCTTATCATACATGGTTCTTGGACTCTTCTGCCCTGTTTGGTTTGGTTTTGCTAGGCCTGATGGTGCTGAGGACTACTTGGGGTTCAAGGGTCACTTCTGGCAGTGCTGGGAATAGAATCTGGGGGCTCCATTATGCATGCAGGCCTGTTGAACTGGCTTTTTGCCCTGTGAATATATTTCCCTCTTTGAAAGGGAACTAGGAGAGTGATTTGTGGGAAGAGCTTTGTTTCATGAGCCCGCAAATAAGGCAGGTGTTCCACTGCTGAACCATATCTCTGGCCCACCTCTCCCACCCTGGTTGCCCTGGAGAGGCCCAGATCCTCAGATTGCCATATTCTCCAAGGCCTTCTGGGGAGGAGCAGGGAAGCCACCAGGCCCATAACAATGCTAAGAGGGGGGCTGGAGTGATAGCACAGCGGGTAGGGTGGTTGCCTTGCACGCAGCCAACCTGGGTTCGATTCCCAGCATCCCATATGGTCCCCCGAGCACCACCAGGGGTAATTCCTGAGGGCAGAGCCAGGAGTGACCCCTGAAAATCACCAGGTGTGACCCAAAAAGCAAAAAAAAAATGCTAAGAGGAGGATGTGAACATTCATGACATATCCACCCATATTGGGAGGAGTTGTTTAATGAGAACAAAGAAAGAGATATGACCAGGGCCCAGAACTCCCCAGGGGTACCACTACTGGGTCTCCTTGCCCCTGCATACACCAAACAGACACAACAGCCTCTCAGAGCTGGGCAACCAGCACTAGTCCACTGGAGTTGGCCCTTGAGGTGACAGCCATTTGGCATAGAGATGTTACTTGCAGTTCTTGGAGGGTATAATGAGTGACCCTCTCTGAAATACAGGGCCCTTATTCTGGGGCATCTCACTCTTGGGGACAATCTGGCCAACTACCATGGAGCTGGGGTTTCTCATCCCTCCCTGTATGAGAGAATGAATGAGCCCAGCTATGCGTATACAGCTTTTCAAGGGCACTGAGCCCTGGTCTTCTTGGAATCCCTTTTTGTTTGGTGACCTTGTAGTCCAGCACGGCTGCCGGATGAGACTCTGAACAGAGAACAAAGGCAACAACTGTGTACCAAACAGATTCCCCCCTACCCTCGCTCCCACCCTGTACTCCTGGCAGAATTTCAGGGACCTGTCAGGCCCCTACTGGATCAGCAGTTACACACAGACGATCAGTGGGGGGCACTCATTTTAAAAGAACTCAGGGCCACTGCCCAGATGGTGTCCATCATGACCCAGACTGTATGTAGGCATCAGAAACAATTCAGGGACAATGGCCTCCACAGGGACCAGCCCTGGATACTTGCCCACACTCTCTCTTCCCCTCTTTCCCCAGCTGCTGGTCTGCTCTGTAGGGACATTCCTGGAGCATGTGAGGAAAGCTACATGGAACAAACAAGTTTCAGTGGGAGGTCAAGAAAAACTTCCCGGGAGCAAGAGTCATAGTACAGTGACTTGCACACGACAGAGCTGAGTTCAATCCCAGCATCTCATATGGTCCCTTGAGCACCACCAAGAGTAAATCCTGAGTGCAGAGTGAAAAGTAAACCAGAGCATTGCCGGAAGTACCCACACACCACTCAGATAAAAAAAAAAGAGCAACAATACAGTGGGTGGAGTGCTTGCCTTGAATGCAATTGACCTGGGTTCAATACCTGGCACCTCATACAGCCATAGTTCCCTGAACCCAGCCAGGAGTGATCCTTGACTGAAGAGTCAGGAATAAGTCCCGAGCACTACTCAGTGTATTCCAAAAGAAAGAATGAAAGAAAGAAAGAAAAACTACCCAATAATCACATAAATTCAGAAACTAAAAGGATGGTTCAATGAGGGAGTCACTTCCCCCATTAGCAGATATGCATAATTAGCAGTAAGAAGGCAGTGTATCTTCGCATTTCTGAGACCTAGGGCTCAGGTAATAACCCTACCGATTTCATCTAGCATTACATGATCCCTGGTGCCAAAGGCATATAGAAAGAATTCAAAGGAGACAGAGAACATCAGAGTATCTGATTTGACTCCATCTAGATATTTGATTGGGGATGGTGCTAGCCATATGCTCTGAACAGTGGGTAAGGTGCTTGCCTTGCACAGGGCTGACCTCCTTTGATACCTGGCACTGTATTTGGTCCCTTGAGCACCTCCAGGAATGGCCCTTAAGCACCACTTGGTGTGGTCCCCCAAAACAAATTAAGTGTGTGTAAGGGGGGGGGGAACTTTCAAGCAGTACTCAGAGAGTCTGGAGGCTACTCCTGGCAATAATACTTGGTCAATATGGGGCTTAGGGTCACATCTAGCTCTCCTTATTCCTGACTTACTCCTGGATCTGTGTTCAGGGATCATTTCTGACAGTGTGCTGGGGACTTATGTATGGTTCTAGGAACTAAACCTGGTTGGTGGTATGCCACTGTCTTACCCACTGTACTGTGTCTCCAACCCAATTCTTGGTCAATTGAGTGGTTCAGTTCAGTGCAAGGGTTCGATGATGTTGAGCAGCCCAGGCAGGTCCTCTAGAGCTAGGGGGCCACCAGAGGCACTGTGGCAGTGGTCAGGGCCTCCAGGACTATACCCAACAGTGTGGAGGGTGGCTGTTCACCACATTATATTTGAGTCCAAACTCACGCCCTGGCATATGCAAACCATGTACTCCTGACCACTGGGCTATCTCACAGACCCCAGTGAGAAATCAACTCAATAGCTTCTGCTCCATCCATAGTCCAGGATACTTACCCATAAACTCTATGTTCTGCTTATGCAACACTGCCACCTCTTGGCTGGACCATCTGGTCTAACTGCCCAGAGGGAAATCAATGGCACCAGTTCAGTACAATTCCCAATTCAGAAAAAGGGGTGAGGAAGGAGAGGAAGGGACCATTTGTCTGCCTGGGTCTGCCACGTGCTGGCCGTAATTCCTCAGGCCTAATTCTTGGTTTCTTTGCCCGTAAAGCGTTTCTGTTGGGTTCCAGGATGAATACAGATGAGACAACAAAAGGGGAGTGGGGTGGAAGTGGAAGGAACTTTGCTGTGTGTCAAGGAGATTTGATTGATGTTTGTCATTGCTGATGACCAGTCAGGCCTGTCCTCTTTCTGAGCCCAGTTTTTGGTTACACATCACTATTGTAGGCCAGCTATAAAACCCAGCTCCCAGAACAGCGCAGAGTCTCCTGCCCCCGCGCCTGGCTGTCCTCGCCAGGGCCCCTTGGAGGGGGGCGGGTTGAGTTTCCCTCCCTGCCCCGAGCAGAACCTCAGCAGCTGAAGACCTCCAGAACCAGTCACAACCTTGCTGAGACCACTCTCCACACACATGAAAGAACCGGCAGAGGAACACAGGCATGCGGCTCCCGGGGCTGAGATCTCCAAGCCTGCTCAGATCGGGGCTGAGCATCCTCCACCCAGATCCTCCATATCCCAGTAGGCAGGGGTTACATCCACCAACTGCCCCCGGCGCCAGGTAATCTCATCAACGACCAAGACCCAGAGACTACAAAACCCAGCTCCCAGAAGTGCGGCCGCATTTGCAGCCTGCAACATCTTATTATCTCATTCTTACTTTGGACAACCTGACACGCTACCTAATGTAACCTGCCCACACGGCAGAGTCTGGCAAACTCCCCGTGGTTTACCCAATATGCCAAATACCAGTAACAATGATGGGTCTCATTCTCCTAACCCTGAAAAAGCCTGGAATATGACACTTTTTATTTATTTATTTATTTATTTACTTTTTGCTTTTGGGGTCCCACCTGGCAATGCTCAGGGGTTACTCCTGGCTCATGCACTCAGGAATTGTTCCTGGTGGTGCTCGGGGGACCACATGGGATGCTGGGAATCGAACCCGGGTCGGCCGCGTGCAAGGCAACCACCCTACCCGTTGTGCTATTGCTCCAGTACCTATGGCACTTTTTAAAATCTCAGGGCCAGGATGAAGGAGACGTTACTGGTGCCTGCTCGAGGCAATTGACGAGCAACAGGATGATCGTGATCGTGATCGTGATTGTAGGCCAGGATCAGGGTGTCTGGATCTTCAACAAAGTGCTATAAAAGCCATCCCAGCACCATCAATCAGGAGTGACTCCTGAGCATAGAACCATGAATAAGCCCCGAGAACCATTGGTGTAGCCCCTGAACCACCTGCCTCCATAAAAAAACTGTAGAACTAATCCAGTGACTGTCTCCAGACACTTTTTTTGGGGGGGGGAGGGGCATGTCCCTTGCTTTTCAGAGCTCTCTCCAGACCCTGCACTCAGGGATCACTCCTGCCTGGCTCTGGGGTTGCTGGGAATTGAACCTGGGTTGATTTTGCACAAAGCAAGCCTCCTACTGGTATACTATCTTTCTGACTCACTTTTTTCTCCATTTGTTTAATTCAAACAAGAAATGTAACTGTTCTGTGGCTGGAGTAATAGTACAGTGGGTTGGGTGCTTATCTTGCATGTGGCTGACCCTGATTGAGCCCCTGAAATCCTATACGTTCCCCTGAGTCCTGCCAGGAGTCAGGAGTAAGTCCTGAGCACAGCTTAGTGCGCCCCCCCTCAAAAAAAAGAAATGTAATTATTCTGAGCCTTGTGCTTGTACCTGTAAAATGAGGTGAGTGAAAACTATGGACCAGGGTCCTGAGTTTAGACTCCTAGTGCATCATGCCTAATGTAATTTTCATCCTCGTCAGTTTGTTGAATATCCACTTTGGATCAGTCCTGAGCCTCTGACTTTCCATTTCCACTGCGTTTGAGCCCTAGTCACAGTTGAGATACTACTAGAGAGCAGGGAGCGTATGAAATACCTGTGTTCTGTTCGGAGGTCCCAGGCCTCAGGCATTGCTCACTTGGACACCCAGTTTAGGCTGGGTCTGTCCTTTGTCCTTAGGGACTGGAAGAACAGCTTTCAGGTGTGTTCAAATGCTACATGGCTGGAAGTATTGGATCCAAAATCTACCCTGAGCTTGCAGAGATGTCAGGGGGATCGGAGTGGATGGCCAGGTAACCGATGGACGCCTGGAGCTCACACTGGGCCTTGACGCAGTGACAAGCCTCAGCAACCTCCCGCATGGGTGCCAGAGCCTGGGAAGGCTGCTGGGGGCTCAAGAGGTGCCTAGACACCAGTGCAGCCCCTAGACTTGGCGCAGCCCTGGGGGCGGGGCGACAGGAGCTGCAGCCCCCGAGCGACAGCCCGTGTAGCCAATAGCGCTCCTGGGTGCACAGTATAGCCCCTCCCCTAATATTTATGTCCAATAGTGCAAACCCAAACGTCCTGGGGGCGGGGCCTAGGTGGTGGCGGCGGTGCGCGGGCGCGGCACCCGGAAGTCGGCGGCTGCGGAGGCGGTGAGTGTGCGGCCGGCGACCTGGGCCGGGGGACTAGTCTCCCCGGAGCCGGCCCGGGCTCCCGGCCCAGGGCCTTGGGGGCGCGGGCGTGGAGGAGTGGGGCTGCGCCTTACCCATTCTGCCTCAGTTTCTCCTTCCTGAGACATGGAATGGAAATCAGGCGGTCGGGTCCGGGGAAACCAACTGGCTCGGGCTGACGACGTGCCCCGCGCGGTACTGGAGCGCGTTTCCAGCGATCCCCACCTGCGGCTGCCGCGCCGCTGCCTCTGGGAAACTGGCAGAGACGGAACGGGCGGGGAACTGCGTGGTCTCTGCAAGATGAGTGGGCTAGACTTCAGGACAGCTCTGGAACCCTGAGTCACGCTGCCCTTTGCCTGCGTTCTTTTGCGGGACAGCGGGGTGACAGCTGGTGCTGGCTCATCCTTGCTCCAAACACGGCATACCCCAGCTCCACCCCCGACTCCGCTCTAGATCCGGCTGAGGGCTGGCTCTGCAGCTGACTTGAGACCCTTCCCCAGCTCCAGCACCTCCAGCTCTGCCACCTTTCTTGGGCCCAGCTTGAGAGTGACCCTTCTACCCTTGTACCTTCCCTGACCCTCAGGCGAGCCCCTTGCTCCAGTTGTGTCGCAGGTTGTGCCACCGCCTGCCCTGGCCCTGCTGTGTGGTCACAGAGCCCCTTCCTCAAGGCAGGTGAAGGTTGGGATGGCCAGTTCTGGGTGCCTACAACTGGCGGTAATTCAGACATGCTTGGTTACACTTGGTCCAGAATTCTCCATGGGCCAAACCCTAGTCAAGGACAAAAACTCAGGCTGAGGTGCCATGACGTAGTAATGCCTCTTCACTGCGCCCCCTCCCCCCAAGCCCAGCTCTCATGGTTCAGGGAAGTTGCACTTGCTCTTACCCCTTCAGCCCCTGACCTTTCACCCCAAGTCCTGCAGCTGTGTTTGTTCTGGGGTGTCCACAGATCCTAATCCCTATCCAGGTCAAAGTCAGTTATCTCCTTCCCCCATGCTGTCAGCTTTGCCACAGGCAGCTTTTGTCTTCGTTTATGGGCTATTTCAGCCACGATGCACCGAGGTCATCATCATGTACGGTGTTGGCAACGCCTTCCTCTGCCTGGCTTTCTCAGGGGTGAGGGGTGGGGGCGAGCGCCTTGGAAGTACCCGGGTGCCTCTTCTCCCTGTGGAGAGATGAGGGGCTCCGGAGCAGGTCTGGAGAGAAGTGTGCCCAGCAGGGTGAAATGGGCTTCCTGACTTGGGGCCACATGTTGCTGCTGACCCAGTGGCAGACAGTGGAACATGGGGTCCATCTTTGGCTAAGGTGTCAGTGGGCACCTGTGGGTGCATGCAGAGTCTGACTTTGGTGAGCATGGGGCATGGGACTTTGTGGTGAGAAACAGGTGGCCCTGGGGCCACCGAGCTGCCCTTTCAGGTTATTGCACAGCCTTTTCCTTTCTCTGCCAACTTTTCTATTAGAGTGCCAAGAGAAAATGCCCACACTCCATGGTGCACAGGATTGGCTGCCTGGACTTTGCCCATGTCTTTGGGACCTGTTCCCTTTGAGTTTGCTTGGATCCTCCTCCTTTCTGAGCCTAGGCCCACAGGGACCCCTGGGAGGCTGGGCTGATCCCTGGCTTGTGGGGACTGAAGGTTCAGAGGTCACCACTATTCTGAACCTTTTGGACTGTTCTTGGTGCCCTTCTTTGCTGCTCCTTCAGGAGACAAGAAATAATGACCCTGAGTGTGGGGCTGAATTTGTGCTGCTGAAATGTCTCAAACATCTTAGGAAAGGGGTATCACAGGCAAAAAATGTGTCCCCTGGGTTCTGGAGAGATCATCCGGGGGGAAGTTTGACTCTTAAGTACTACCCTCTATGGTTCCCAGAGTCTCTCCAGGAGAGATCTCTGAGTACAGAGCCAGGAATAAGCCTGAGCACAGCTGGGTGTGGTCCCTAAACAGGAACGAAAGGAGATTTGCCCTGAGCAACGCCCCTTAGTCAAACCAAGATCAAGGTGCCCTCGTGCTGGAGCAGGGGGGAGGGCAGAGACCTGCAGGAGTGGGTCTGCCACTCTGGACGAGTTACAGACCTCAGGGCTCGCAGCCAAGGCCCGGAGCAGCTCCCGTGTGTGCCCGGATCTGTTTTCCTCCACTTCAGTGTGTGCCTGTGCCTGTTCACCTCCTCTGCCAGCAGCAGGAAAGAGCCACCGGTCCAAGGAAAGAACAGCTTGAGCTTTCCGCTCTGCCCTGGGGGCTGCCCCTGCGACTCAGCCCTAGGGGCTAGGGGCCAGCGTCCTGGCTTCCCAGCTCTGCTAGCAGGAATCTGAGGGGCCCCCACTTCTGCAAGACCTCTCAAGACCATGGACAGGCAGATCTAGCCAGAACAATGTCTTCCCAAATGTGCTGAACAAGAAGTGTAAGGAAATGAGGTCACAGGGCCTAGGACATGGTGGGTAATTGTGCAGAGTCTGAACACCAGCAGGTTTGGAGGCCCCAAGTCTTGGTGAAAATGCTTGCCTGGCCCTGTCCTGCCCTGTCCCGCCTCTCCCCTCTGTCCTCTGCCTGCCCACCTTCCCTTTGCTTTTTCAGTTCCCAAAGGGAAGTGCAGCTGCCTTCCCTTGCTCTCCCTTCAAGGCATTGTGTAGCTTCTTGCAGTGCGGAGGTGTTTAGGCCAGGGCTGAACCCCTTCCCCAGTCTCCCATGAATGTCTTTGTCTGGCCTTTCCTGCCTGCCCTCTGCCTGCCCATGGGAACAATTCCTAAGTCAGTGGGTGTGTGTTTTCTAAAGGTCCAGAGGCTCTATCTCTCCCGCTGCCCCGCATTCGGCCACCCGTTTCCCCCACCCCAGGGAGGTCGATGGCGATGGGCAGACGAAGGAACGAATGAGGGCCAGGCTGGTCAGTATCAATTGTAGTTTATTCCAGTCTTCACTCTCACCTCTGATTCTGCCCTCTGGAGCCCAAGCTCTCTGAGCCCAAGCCTGCGCCTCAGCCTGAGACTCAGTCTCTGCTCTCTCGAGCCCCAGCCCCCTTCGAGCTTACAGTCTTAGTTTATATAGCAATCATGTAGGGTAGTGATACAAAAGTGGGTTGAACATTAACAAATCAGCAAAGAGAGGTAAGACCACTCCTCGAGGAGATTAACTCAGTAAATCTCATCTAAAGAGATTTATTCCAGATTACTAGGAGATCTGCGCAAGGGTGGGATCCCAACAAGGGTGTGTTCTTTCCTCAGCTAGTAATCTACTTAAATAGTTGTAGTAAGTCTACTTCTAATATTTCTAGCAATGTCATTCTGTATGAGCACAGTAAGAGATAAACTTACAGTTTGGTTCTTCCTGAGGACATCTCACTATATATTCCTATATATATATATCAGTCCTTATGCCAGGTTAGTCTTCCTAGCCCAGCAGGGTCCTAGTCTTGTCTTTACTTACTTTTGGATCATGACAGCATTTGTCCATGATCGTGCCCTCAACTTATAGTTGAGTATCGTGGCGCTTTGGCCTGGCCCATTTCGATGCCAGGGTCGCTCACAGCTTGTCCTGGGTCCAATCAGTCCCTCGTCGGGACCCTGTTTTTGGGGTGCTAGGAACTAAGGGAAACTGAGTCAAGAAAGCAGATGCCCAGGAGTAAATATTATTCGGAGTCAATCAACTCCCAAGTTACAAAGCATAATATTAACTGTCTTTCTGTGTCCACACAGAAAGGACATTGCTTAAGGTAAGCTATGCAAAGAACTGGAGCGATAGCACAGCGGTAGGGCGTTTGCCTTGCACGCAGCCAACATGGCTGACCGGAGTTCGATTCCTCCGCCCCTCTCGGAGAGCCCGGCAAGCTACCGAGAGTATTCGATATGCCAGACACAGTAACAACAAAGTCTCCAATGGAGACGTTACTGGGCCCGCTCGAGCAAATCGATGATCAACGGGAGGGCCTTTACTTATGCAAAGGACATAACTTACAATACAAGTTCAGTGTCCTTAGAAGGATCTGATTTTACAAGCTAACAGAATCTGATTAGGGAGAAAAGGTGATTAATTGGCTGGGGAGGAGAGCACAGAGAAGAGTTTACAGATAAACAGAGGAATGAGAGTCACTCGGGAGCACTGTGTTGGGTGTAACCTGATAAACCTGAGCTCCCTGTGGCAATGTTATTCTACACAAGCGATTGTCTTTTCCTTGAACTTTTTTAAAAATTTTTATTAGTGAAACACCATGAGGTACAGTTGTAGACTTACAAATTTTTGTGCTTGGGTTTCAGTTATACAATGATCCAGTACCCATCCCTCCACCAGTGCCCATTCTCCGTCATTTACTTTTTTTTTTAAATTTTTGTTAGCGAAACACCATGAAGTACAGTTAAGTACAGTTGTAGATTTATAAATTTTTGTGCTTGGGTTTCAATTATACAATGATCAAATACCCATCCCTCCACCAGTGCCCATTTTCCACCACCACGGGTCCCAGTATCCCTCCCACCCCTCATCCCCCCATCCCACCCTGCCTCTGTGGCAGGGTATTCCCTTTTGTTCTCTCTCTCTTTTTGGGTGTTGTGGTTTGCAAAACAGGCATTGAGTGGCAATCATGTTTGGTCTCTAGTCTACTTTCAGCATGCTTCTCCCATCCTGGAAGGATCCTCCCAACACCCTTTATTTGGTGCTCCTTTCTCTATCTGAGCTCCCTTTTCCCCTAGAGTGTGTGGCTGGCCTCCAAGCCATGGAGCAAAACTCCTGGTACTAATCTCATCCACTCTTGGGTGTTAGTCTCCTATTTTGTTACTTTATGTTCCCCGGTTTTTGTTTTGGGGCTACCTCTGGCTAGTGTTCAAGTTTTGTTTCTGACTCTGTGCTCCGAGATCACTCCTAGTAGGGCTCAGGAGACCCCATGTGGTATAAGGGGTTGAACTCCGGTCGACCACGTGCAAGGCGCACCCTACCTGCTGTATTATCACTCTGGCCCCTGCCTTCAACTTTTCTTAACTGCTACAGAGAGTGGAGTTGGAG